ACAGGTTCGAATCCAACTTTATTATCCTCTTTAAAGCTTCCTTTAAGTTTTATCAATATTTAATGGCCCCTTCATATAATCTTAAATGCCAACTTTTCACATCAACGTGATAAATTTAAATTTTGTTTCCTGATTGCTCTCATAATTATTACGAATATTGATTTAACTATGGTATACTTTAGCATGGAGATAGCATAACAAAATTTATATAAAATTATTGAGATAAAATTTATAAAATTATTTCTTAAAATAATTTCATAAAAAATTTTATAAAAAATTAAAATTAATATATTGACAGAATTCAATGTGAATATCAATAATATATAAAAAAATTATAAAAAGTATTATTTAATTTAAATTTGATTAATAATTATTCAACGGTAAAAATTTTATCATAATTTTTACTAAAAATGTCTATCGAAAACTATATATCAAAATTCTTTGAAATTTTTTTAAATTTTATACATTTTATTTATATAATGAGATCTTTTAATTTATCGATCTTAATTTTTTATTTTAATTTTAATTTTAATTTAATCGTTTCCAATAGGAAATTTCATGAATTTTACCTAATAACTTCATGTAAGTCTTATCCTAAAATCAATTTAAATCTTAAATAATAAAAAAAATTGTAATTTTTCAATCTAAAAGTCCAATTTATAAACTCAAATAAAAAAGTTACTGAAAAGGTGATTTTGTAGTTCAATTGCAATTTTTTTCTTTTTTATGAAGTTGTTGTAGAAAAGCTTATTGGATGGACTCTAATATATATGGACTTCAACAATGGAGAGCTCAACTAGATAATATGAAGTCCCTCATCAATACTTGAATAGCTTAAGAGATACAATAAATCCTTTGTTAGAAATCACTTTTACATTAGTAAGTTTCTAACCACTAAACAACTTTAAAAAAAAATCGAAAATATTAGGTTTAAGCTAAGTTTTCTCGACAAACTAGTCTAAGAGACTTCTTCTAATTTGAGAGTGAGAGGGAGAAGAATTTAGAAATTAAAAGTATACATCAAAACAATAAAACCTAAATTTGATTGATCTGATTTGATTAAAAAAATTAATAATTCGAACCAAGTTGATCCGAATTCGAATTTAAATTGATCTGAATCAAATTTTAAAATGATTTGACTTTAAATTTAAGACTAATAATAAATGTCATAATTAATGACCATATTAGTATATTATGGTAAAAATAAAATTCTTTTTGGATAATACTAAATTTACATTTTTTGGACCTAGTTAAACTTAAATGTTCATTTTATGATGCATTTATGTTCATCCAACCATAAACAAAATTAAAAAAGAACTAACTTAGAATTTTACTATAGCCAACATGTCACCAAGCCCAAATGACACATCAACTACATTTAGTGCCTCCAATTATTCTATAAAAAAACCAAGGGGAATTAAAGAGATGTATAGTACACTAAATCAATTGAGATGCCTAAAGTTGGCAATTATAACTTAAAATATATTGTTTTTTTATAACTTAAATAATACAAAATATATTGTTTTGTGATATATAAAATTAACACTTAAAAATCAAATGTTATAATTTAAAAATTAAAAAAATTAAATATCAGTCAATAAAAAGTTATTAATAAAGTTTTATTATGAACAAAATTAATTTAAATGATTTAAATTAATTATATTCAACAAAACATAATTTTGTATTATTAGTAAATTACTTTTACATCATTTAATTTTGATATCTTATTTGTTATATAATTTAATTATATTTATATGATTTTAGAAGTTAATAAATTGAATATGAATAATTTGAGTGTTGATCCTCCAATGACCCTAGAGTTAACCCAAAATCATATAATTCGAAAATATTTCAAACTCAAAATAATCTAAATTGAAATTGATTCAAACATGAAGTGATTTAATATGATATACACCAAATTTGAAACGATTTAATTTTTCTTGACGTGATCCAAAACTGAAGTGATCAAACTCAAAATTATTTGATTGTTTTTTTATTTGAACCGGACTTAATCCAAAATTGAATTAATTTGATTTTTATTCATTCGGAATGATCCAAATCAAAATAACAAAACCCAAACCCAATCAGATTAACCTATTTGTCACCTTTAGTTTTAGTTCGGAGAACAGTAGATTCTAGCTAATAGCTATCGACTTACTCTTATATTTTTCTTAAAATAGAAGATCTTCTAGCTTAAGCAGTCAATTACCTCAGTATAAGTAGTCGACTGATTTATTTCTAGCCTAACAATCGACTGCCCTAGAGTTAGGAATCCATTTTTCTTTATTTTTTGAACTAGAATGTATCCAGATTTTGGTACATTCTTGCAATGCATGGTAGTCAATTACTTAGCATTAACAGTTGATTACTTCTTATCTCAAAGCTCTAAGCAGTTGATTGTTTTCATAGTAAATTTTCTTTACCAAGTCCATTTGATCATGGATAGGGACGACAATCAACCCCGTTCTCGACGGGTTTCGGCCTAACCCAACCCTATGGGGTCGAGTTTTTTTTTTTTTGAATTTTGATTTTCGGGTCGGGTATAGTTATGGAATAATTGGGTCGGGTCGGGTTCAGATATGCCTAAAACCCGACCCGACCCAACATTATATAAAAAATTATTTTTAATTAATTATTTAATTATTTATTTATATATTTATATAATGATATTTTTAAATATTTATATTTAAAAAAATATTTTATATTTTAAAAAATAATATTTTGTTAATTTTGAGTCAGATCGGGTACGATTTATATAGTGTCGGGATTGGGTCGAGTTCAGATATAAAAAAATCGGATAGGATCAGATTCGGGTATGCTAAAGCATAAAGTCGAGTTGAGTTCGGGGCGAGCAAAACCCGCTCCGAACCCGACCCGATGCCATCCCTAATCATGGAACTTACTTGAGTTATTTTATAGCTTGATTAAATTATACTTTTACTTGATCTTGTACTTATTTTAAAAGTAATTCTAATATTTTTATAAGCAAAATATTTTATTATTATCAAAATCTCTAAATTTTTATTATTTTATGTATATTTTAAAGACATTTTAATTTATCACAATATTTTTTTCACAACGATGCTAAACACTTAAAATTTTTAAAATATATTTTTCTTATAACATTTATAAACATATTTTTTTATTATAAAATTTTTTAATTACAATTACAATAATTGTAATGGGTTAAATCATATAGGGTCTTAGAAAAAATAGACCCATTTAGTACATAAAGTTGTAAAAGAAACAACCAATAAAGTTTCAATCTCGCCGGGATTAGGTTGTCTTTTTCATTTCTTTTCCAACAATTTTTTTTTATTACTACAAAATTAGCTATACTTTTTTTTGTTGACTTATTCCTTGCTGCTTTTGCCTTTGCCTTCGCCTTTGCCTTCGTTACAAGATTAGTGGGGGCCACGTTACCGTTATGATTAATCTCCCTCCACTTATTATAAATTTATTCAAAAAACAGCCTTTTTATTCGTATGGATTAGGTAATATTAGAATGACCCATATGCCCTTGTAAAGGAAATCAATTTTGAATTATTAATGGGTGGTTTTGACATTATTTGTAATTACCCATTTACCCTTCTTGTAATATCTAATTTATAAGAGAAGGTTTTTTATTAAAAAAAAAACTTACTTGAAAATAAGAGAAAAAATATATAACTGTTCAGATTGAAAGAATATATTTAAAGCTCAAATTTTTTTTTAAAATGATAATTAACTATATTATTGGGACTTAGATTTTAATAGAAAATATTTAGGATTAAATTTGAGTCATGGTATACAAGACAAAAAGAATGATTATATTATTAATCCTTAGAGCTTCTTATTAAAGGTTAATCATGTCAACCAGAATTTAAACTTATACTAACTTCTTTGAGCTCCCCTCCAATATTTCAAGGCTACATTAACAAGCTTTGACTTATAAATACCTAATCATGCCAAAATTTCTAGTCTTGCCCATAATAAATTTGAATTCAAAAACAAGCTTCGATCATTCAAATTATAAAAATTAAAATTAAAAAATTTTCACGTTTGAATTTTTGATTCAATAATTAACATATAATTTTTTTATTTAAAAATTTTATTTCAAATATCTCTATTTTACAATAATAAAAATTAAAAAATTTGATTAAGGACAAAATTTGTTTCTCTATCCTTTTCAATTCCATTTCAATTCCATTATCTTCAAAACAAGTCAAGAAACACACCCTTCATACAAGAAACGTACCGTTTTGGGCTAATGAAAGCAAGCATCTAATTAATGTGTAAACTAATTATTGCAAAGGGGCCACAAAAAACCAATAGGGCCATCAAATTTTTGCTTATATATATTTTTGGCCTTATTACTATGATTCATTAATTTGTGATCCAACAACATCAAAGTTGGCAAATTAATTCTCATTATCAATTATCTAAATCAATTCTTAAATGAGTGAGTATAATTTAATTGTGTTTGATTTTGATTCAAAGCGCTTGGAAAGTTTTGGATTATACTTATCAATCCTTCAATCTCTATTAAATTTTTTACCAACAATATATAAAATATTTTAACACATTGCAAACTATACTTTTGTTTAGTACAATATTCTTGAAATATTTTTCTCAAATTACTCACAACCTACCTCTAATTAAACTTTTGTTTTTCAAAATATTATTATGATAGAGATGTTTGGTTTGATTCAAGAATGAAAAAAATATTTACTACATTTTGGTTTGAATTAAATTTATTTTTAAAAATAATTAAAATTTATATTAAAATTTTAAAAATTATAATATTATGTATTATTTAAAAAAATCGAATCATTATCACTCTATGTCACTCTATATAAGTAATAAACTCTTATATTTTCTTATTAATAGTATATGATATAAGAATTAAAATTTTTTCATAAAATTAGAAAGGGTATAACAGGAATTTATGAAAAATTAAAAGGGACTAATAACGGTAATTTTATCCAAATCCCCGACCAAATCCAAAACCTTATTTTTTCTCTCGGCTTTTTCAGGTCCCTCTCTACTTTTAACGCCTGCTGCCTGCGTGCATTTCAATTCCGCCAGTTCTTTCTATTTTTTATTTTCAAAAACATTATTTTAATTATTATGTTAATCAATTCAGTCCTCCTATTTTAGTCTTGAATAAATTTCAAACCATTTAATTTAAACCCTCTTGATCAGATCCAAACCGTTTCTTTGAGTCTGATAAAACCCAAAGCAAAACAGAAAAAAAAAACAAGAAGAAGAAGGAGAAGAAGCTTATTTTTTTTTTTTCTCTGAAAACAACTTTAACAGTTTTTTTTTTTTTTATTGCTTGGTTTTGAAAGGCTTGTTTCTCAACAACCTTAATCTTTTGTAAGAAATTTTTTTTTAATTTTTTAGAATTTTTAACTTTCGTTTTTAAAAAGTCGCTGCTTTACTTTCTTGTTCATCTTTCTCAATTTTTTTAGTAAGCAGTTTTGATTTCCGTTTCTTCCAACAAAATCCAAAACGTTTCAATTTTCGTTTTTTTTCTCTTTTTATTTTCTTTTTCTTCCTCAAAATGTCTGCTATGTCGATCTTCTTCTAAGTTTTTCAGTGCGAGTTTAGCAAGGATATTAATTTGAATTTCGAAAAAAAAAACTTTTTTGGTTGATTTTCGGGGTTTTTCTTTCAAAAATGATGTTATCGGCGTCGCCGACGACTTTAGCGAAAAGTTCGCTAGAAGTAATGTTAGACTCTCTGCGGCGACGAGACGAGGCCGAGAAGCCTAAAGATTTACCCCCGGCTTTACCATCCCGGCCCACATCCAAGGCCCGACTTCCCTCAGCCCGCCGGTCCCTTCCGACGAGCTTAATAATCGATGCTCCCGGAGAAAATGGAGGGAAATGCGGTGAAAACGATTGCGGTTTAAGTGAAGTGAAAGGAAAAGAGGAAGCTAAAAGGAAGGAAAAGCAGTTGGAAGTGAAAATAACTACTTTTGGGAGCAAGAAAATGAGGAAAGGTGTCAATGGGGATTCACCGTATAATTTGGAGGCGGAAAGTGAAGGGGAAAATAGGGTTTCGGATGCGGAAGCTGAGGTGAAGAAGGAGGGAGGGAAAGAGAAAGTGGAGTGGGTAGAGAATGATAATATTGGTTATTTTATTAAGAAAGTAAGTGTTTGGTGGAAATTAACTCTGATCTTTTTTTACCAACAATGAGGTTTTTGTTTGGCTCTATATTGGTATGATATATCCATGAAAAGTTTTGTTTTCTTTGCCTTTTGGGGTTTATACTAGGAAGGAAATGAATTAGTATGAATAGGGGAAAATATGGGATTTTATGAAATAAGAATCTGAAGCATGGTTTGGATTGTTTAGCTTTGATTTTTAATACTATCAAGGAAACGAGTTAGTATGAATAGGGAAAAATAGAAATTGAGGACGATAACTAAATGGAATCTAAGTTTGTCATAATAAATTTATGGTTTCATGACCAATGAATTTGGAAATGTTAAAAACTATCCTTGGGTTGGCAGTGTTGTTGAATTGTTATACTATCCTTGGGTTTATAACTCTGGCAGAATATGGTTTATCTGGATTGAGAGATCAAATTTAAATTTAATCACTATTTCTCATGATGGCTAGGTGTTACCTAACATACTGAGAGGTTGATTTTAATTTTATGGATATATTAATATTTTTCGGACATTTATGATATGAATTGTAGTTGAAAGGTTAAATAGAGTGTATTTACTTAAAAAAAATATGGTTAAACAAAATTTAGACTACCACTTAAGTTCTTCTTTTGTTGAAATATCTAAAAAAGGAAGCATCCGCTTGGACATTGTTTTATCTTCTGTGAAAGCGATTACTGGTTTTGCTAAATATAATTTATAAAAAAATCTATTTATTGTGAGAGGATTTGGTTTTAGAAACTTCGTGTTTGGTGCCGGCTATCCCATGGGGTGTGGGGATATGGGACCATACAGTCTACATCAGGAGAAGAATCCTTTGTCTCCCTTTCCAATGGAAATGTAAGTTCATATGTATCATAATTTTTTAAATTGTATAATTTGTCTAGAGTATTCCTTTTGGCAGGTTGGTGTACGATTTACATCGTATCATTGTTATAGGTTGTAAAAGTCTCTACCAGTGAGCTCTTACCTGCAAACCCGGAAATTGTGGAGGGTGTGGATGATCTCATACAGCTTAGTTATTTGAATGAGCCATCAGTTCTTCACAATCTCAAGTACAGATATTCTTGTGATATGATATATGTAAGCTGGAGATAACCATTGCTCATGTACTTATTATGAGGATTATCTCTACTTCCGTGCTTCATTTATATATATTTTTTATGTAGAGTAAAGCAGGTCCAGTTTTGATTGCAGTCAACCCGTTCAAAGATGTCCAAATTTATGGCAAGGATTTTGTGACGGCTTATAGACAGAAAGCTACAGTCAGCCCTCATGTTTTTGCTATGGCAGACACTGCTTATAATGAAATGATGAATGGTGAATGAATAGTTCTTTCTTTTTCTTTTTGAAGTTGGCATAAACAAGTATAATTTGCTTGTGGTGTTGTAATAACTTGTTTCTGATGCTCTGTTTATTGTCTGTAATTAAAATTTTCCAGATGGAGCAAATCAGTCTATAATCATAAGGTTAGGTGAATATTTTAATATTTTTAGTTATATATGATATTGTAATACTTGTGTGGGTCTTTCAGCACATTTTTTGTTTTATGAGCTGTATAATTATGTAATCTAAATTTATCTTGCAGTGGGGAAAGTGGAGCTGGGAAAACTGAGACAGCAAAATTTGCAATGCAGTACCTAGCTGCCCTTGGAGGTGGCAATGGTGGGATAGAGTGTGAAATCCTTCAGACAAATTGTATACTTGAAGCATTTGGGAATGCTAAGACTTCTAGGAATGACAATTCTAGCCGATTTGTGAGTTCTTTTCCCCTTCGTTCATTTTTCTGTTGTTCTCTACTGAAGGTAAATCTATATAAACTATATCTCTTGGCGAAAAGAATCCTTGGTGATACACCTTAGAGGATCAGTTTCTCCGTTGGTTCATGTATTTCACATCTGCTATAGCTGACAATCATATGGCTTTTTGTATTACTTTGTTATTCTGAACTGGTGCAGGGGAAACTCATTGAAATTCATTTTACCACGTTGGGGAAGATATCTGGTGCCAAGATCCAAACTTGTAAGCATGTTGAAATTGAAAAATTGCTATTATTACTTGATATGTTGTAGTAATAAATAATATAGATTAATCCTGGTGACTGACTTGATTTTTGTGCTGATGTTGATTCACCAATGATAAATCTGGATAGTTCTTCTGGAAAAGGTGACTTTCTGGCCCAGTTAAACTTTATATTGGATTTTATCTCTGTTATCATGTATAATACCTGATGTGGATGTTTTTGATGTCACCTTTGGGCAGTCAAGAGTAGTTCAGCTGGCTGCTGGTGAAAGGTCTTTCCATATCTTTTATCAACTTTGTGCTGGTGCTCCACCAACTCTAAGAGGTACTATTTCATTTCACAGTGTTTCACAATCCATGCAAATTCAGAGAAGTTTTGATGTCTGTACGACATTGGCTGAGCCCTATATTATCTGCATGGAACTATGCTTGCATCTGTCTTTGAAGTATATTTATGATCCTTGGAATCATGTCTTTGCAGAGAGGTTGAATCTTAAAATGGCTAATGAGTACAGCTATCTTGTCCAGAGTGACTGCTTGGTGATTAATGGTGTTGATGATGCTAAGAAATTCCATATGCTTATGGTAATTCAAAAGATTAGATTTTAAAGTTACTATCAATAATGCAGGCATTCCTTTTCCATTTAATTTCCACGTCATCGGCTTTGAAGCAATAGTTTCCCCATTTCTGCAGGAAGCCTTAGACATTGTTCAAATTTGCAAAGAAGAGCAAGAGCAAGCATTTGCAATGCTTGCCGCAGTGTTATGGCTGGGAAATATATCATTTCAAGTAATTGACAATGAAAATCATGTGGAGGCATCAGCTGATGAAGGTAATAATATAGGTTTTAGCTTCGAATAATGACACTTAGCAAATATTTTGCATTTGATATTGTATCTATGATTTTTTTTTCTTTCTGTTTCTTTTTTTCTTAGCCAAGAGAGAGAGAGAGAGAGAGAGAGAGAAACTTGATTTATTTTTTGTAGTATTTTTCAAGGAATTTGCATAAGCCTTACATAGTTTTATGATGATGTCTTATTGGCAAGGTGGTGGAACATAAAATGAAGAACATAATGTGTAGTAGTGAATGAACATGCCAATTTGTACCATTACTTATATTTGCATCAAGAAGCTCCTACTTTAAAAGCAGGACTCATTTACTAATTTTTAACATTGAACTAAGTAGCAAGATATTGTCATTCAGATGCATTGTCTCCTTAAAATTTCTGATAACCTGTGCCAGTGAACATGGTCCAACCTTTATCAAAGTTTTATAGGCTTGCTACTTTGGATGAACTTTAAGTGTCCTATTTTTGTTAATAATCCTCCATTGTATTTTGTCAACTGGTTTATCATAGTGACTACCAAATAATGTATCTGTCACCATTATCCCCAAGAGCTGAAGGAAGTCTTTTCTGAATTCATCATAAATGTAAAATACATATTTATAAATCACATGTACTGTAAAGACCTCATCATCTGTGATTTTCATCATCATCAGTAGTTTTATGCCTGCTAATATTACTTAGTTGTTGAATCTGTTTAAGTTAACTATTTAGTTAGCCTTTGCTTTGCATATAAGTGCATGTTTGTTAATATGTTGTGTTTATACTTTTTGTAGAGTGAAAAATGATTATATTTTAAGGTGCTTATTTATGTAATTTTTTATTCCTCAATGCAGCTTTAACCAGTGCTGCCGGGCTGATGGGTTGTGCCCCACAAGAACTGATGCAAGCTTTATCTACCCATAGAGTCCAAAATGGCAAGGATAGTATTGCTAAAAAATTGACATTGCGACAGGTTTGTCTAGTATTTGATTAACAAAACTATTCTTCTTCAATCCTCTCATAAGTTAGCATTCTATATTTGCTGTGGTGCACACATTGGCAATATGACGATGCATTGCTTAAATTGTAATTTAGGCGATTGACACAAGAGATGCATTGGCAAAATTAATCTATGCAAGCTTGTTTGACTGGCTTGTGGAACAAATCAACAAGTCACTTGAAGTGGGCAAACGGTGCACTGGAAGGTCCATATGCATCCTTGATATTTATGGGTTTGAGTCATTTAAGGTAAGTAGGTTCTAGTTTTCTGTTTAGAGATTATCATTGTGAAGTTAAGTTTGTCCAACTGATATTTTTCCTCTTCTCATTTTCAGAAGAATAGCTTTGAACAGTTTTGTATAAATTATGCAAATGAAAGGTTGCAACAACACTTCAACCGGCACCTGTTTAAGCTTGAACGAGAGGTAAGCAACTCAAATCTTTTAATTATTCGAGTATTTGACTTCTGTACAGTTCTGTAGAACAGTGCCTCTATGCTTTTAAACTGGGATTCTAGTACTCTGCCCTCATTTACTAGGCATACGAATCAGAAGCCTAAAGTTCTGTATATTCTGGTTCTTGGCTGTCAATTCTTATCTCTGGATTTGGTTTCCTTTCTATCTCAGTAATTTTTATTTTGACCAACTTCCCATTATTAAGAATCTCTTCTTTTTCCTATTTTAGGATTATGAATCAGATGGGATTGATTGGACTAAAGTTGATTTTGAAGACAATCAAGAGTGCTTGGACTTATTTGAGAAGGTAATTTGAAGCTTCAATAGTTTCCTTGGATTGTTTTAAGGGATTACTTGACTCTTTTCTGTATATATTACGTAGCTTGTGGTTCTTGCATATTCTATGGTTTTCCTTCTATTTGGAAATTGAGTTTGGTCTTCCTAAAGTATTTGGAAATTGAGTTCGGTCTTCCTAAAGTATGTTTTCTTAGCTTGGGTGCTAATGCTGGCTGAAGTTTTTATTTCCTTGTGGTATTTTGTTGCTTTGAAAGCAAAATGTTCCTGGGCAATCTGTCACTCTTTTTTTTGGTGGCCATTTTGCAGAAACCGTTAGGGCTACTTTCCTTACTGGATGAGGAATCGTATTTCCCCAATGCAACTGATTTGACCTTTGCTAATAAGTTGAAGCAGCACCTGAAAGCTAATTCTTGCTTCAAAGGAGATAGAGGCAGGGCCTTCGGAGTTCGACATTTTGCTGGAGAGGTCAGTTACAGGTTTTTGAGGGCAGTTGGAAACTCTTTTTTAAGCTTTTCTTTTCATTCAATTTTGAAGGCAAATAATCAAGAAAGTGGGAAATATCCTATATTGAAGAAGGATCATTACATTTTTTATATGTTGTTACCTGTTCTCTCCTTTTTTTTTTTTTATAAATTAATTTTGAGATACTTGAAAGTGGTCAAAATATTGGTTAAATATTTGAAAGGGCTAAGTTCAAGAGCACATCAATCATATGGCAGCCATTTCTTAGAGATTTAATAGAATTTTGTATTTCTCCAGGATCTATTATATGTAAATTGATGTACAAATTTCTTGTCCGGGTCAAACTACAGTATGAGACTTTATAGACCCTTGAAATGTTGTTAATTATATTTTGATTTATTAATCACTGAAGTTTGATTCTACACTGCAAATGTCTTGGTATTAAACATTTTTTGTTTGCCCTATTCTGTGTTAGGTTGTCTGTTTACAGCTTCAGCATTGATGCATGTATATATACTTTAATCATTTAGCTTTAGAGCATTTTATTGTAACAAAGTAAGGGAACTCTTTTTTTTTTTTTTCAAAATTAATTAGCTTCTTAGGGTTAGCATCACACTCAAAACATAAGATGCAATTAAGAAAGTCCAATTTTTGGAAAGGTTAAGTTTGTTTGGCAAGTTGATTAAAATAGCATTCCATACTACCGAGATGGTAATGAACAAGGCATACATGAAATTATTGATTTTTGGAGTTCTGCCAGGTACTCTATGATACAAATGGGTTTTTGGAAAAGAACCGAGAACCACTGAACTCTGAGTTAGTCCAACTTCTATCATCCTGTAATGGCCAATTGCCACAATCGTTTGCCTCTAAAATGCTTAACCAATGTCTGAAACCAGCAACATTATTGGATGTTCCAAAGCAAAGTGTCGTTATGAAGTTCAAGGTAAGTTTGCTTCCTTAATAGTTGTGATCCATATATATCTGTAGTTGTAATGTAATTCAAACTGATCAATAAAACTGCAAAGCTTTTTGCGGTATCCGTTCTTTATTGGAGAAGCTTTCCTACATTAGTCTCAAGTATAAAGCATTCAAAGATTTGCCGGTCCTATGAATGAAGTTATTTTGATTTATTGAGTTCTTTGGTTCTTGCATGTTTTGTTGTTGGGTAATTGCCTTTGAAATCCTTTACATTCCTTTGAGAATGAGGGTATCTAATACAGTATTAGAAATATAATATTGATGTTTAGAGCACACTGAGATGTGCCTGTTATTAGAAGCACACTTTGTAAATTTTGATGTTTATCTTCCATACTTGCAGCATCAACTCTATAAGCTAATGCACCAGTTGGAGAATACTACACCTCACTTTATTCGCTGTATAAAACCAAATTGCAAGCAGCTTCCTGGCACATTTGAGGAGGATCTTGTCTTGCGGCAACTTAGATGTTGTGGAGTTTTGGAGGTTGTTAGAATCTCCAGATCTGGATATCCAACTCGAATGACACATCAGGAGTTTGCAGAAAGGTAGAGGCTAAACCTCCTTTAGTTTATGGATTGTTTTAATTTTTGTATTATTCCCTTTAACTAGTTCACTATAATTTTTCTCATATATTTGTTCATTTCTTAGGTATGGGTTCCTACTGTTGGAGACCAATGTATCTCAGGATCCTTTAAGTATTTCAGTTGCTGTTCTAAAACAATTTAATGTCCTCCCTGAAATGTATCAAATTGGCTTTTCCAAACTGTATCTTCGAAATGGGCAGGTAAGTTCTACATTCTGTCTTGTTTTTAATGTTTCTTTTCATTTTTATGCTATAATTTTCAACCTTGATACCTCTTTCCCCAAACACTTCCAGGACCTATATGACACTATAGATAATTGCAAGAGCCAACCAACGTAATTCTTGGTCTATGCATATCAAGAGTTTGTACTAAGACTTCATATAAAGCCACTGCTCTGTTCTAGCAGAACTTACTACCTCTTGTGCTCCACTTGAACCAGGAAATATGACTTTCTCTTACTTTATGGCAGAAAATCATGTTAGCCTAATTAGTCATATTAGAAATCACGGAGAATCTTTTTGAAGTGGAGCCCAAGTAACCAGGTTGATATGTAACTGTAAATGGATCACTGTGTTGCAAATAAAAGCCTGAAATATCTCTTGATGCTCAAAGTTGGACCTTCAAGTTGACATGCTGAGTTTCGGAAAATGGAGATTCAAACTTATTTCATTCTGTTTCTGGTTATCTTATCTAATAGTTTCTTTGATGCTGTTATGTCTGGCTGTCTTGCAGATTGGTGCATTGGAGGATAGGAGAAAACAGTTGTTGCGAGGAGTAATTGAAGTCCAGAAATACTTCCGTGGCCACCGAGCTCGTTGCCTTTTCCGTGAGCTCAACAAGGGGGCAAAAAATATGCAATCATGTAATGAACTTCCTCCAAGCAAAACTCCTTTTCAATAAATTTTTTTGTCTCTAGCAAGAGATTTATTGATTGTTTAATAATTTTTGTTGTCTTGTCTGGTCATAAGTTAACATTGTTTCATACATTTAGGCTATCTTTCTGCAGGACATTTTAGACTTTTGGTCTTTAAACATCTCCATCTTCAAAGCACCTTTTTACACTTTAGAGGCTTGAAGTGTAGATTTATTTGTGTTTGTGCCATAAGTTGATTTCTTTCTAGATCATGGGGCCTCTATATTTTGGCAATTCACATTTTTTGATTCTCTTTTACCGATTGATGGATGTTTCCTCTGCGATGCAGTTGTATGCGGTGAAAATATCCGAAGGAAGTATGCTACTGAGGCAAATAGATGCTCAGCATTTGCTTCCCAGTTACTTGATGAGCAGTTAACGGCAGTCATATATTTACAATCTGGTAAATTCTGTGTACTATCTAAAGTTGTGGCTATCTGTTGTCTGACTTATCATCATCATTGTCTTTCTCCTCTGCAGTAATCCGTGGGTGGTTAGCCCGGAGGCATTTAAATAACATGCATAATTTGAAACAGTTGAACCATGAAAGCGTAAAATCTAGACGAAAGATGGGTAGGAAGATTTCTGAAGCAAAGGTATTCTCTACTCTTAACATTGTAGCATGCTAAGAGCATTAGTTTTTTAAAGACATTTTCTTATTTACTATGTTTATTCTCTTAGGTGCATGCCTCCGAGCATGTTACACTTTCTTAATTGTCTCTAATGTGTAGAGCAACTCTGAAGGATTTAAAATGTGACCCTTTTTTTGGCTGAACAGGACATGCCACATGAGAAACAAATTCAAGTTCTGCCTTCTGTAATGGCAGAGCTTCAAAGAAGGGTTCTCAAGGCAGAAGCGACTTTGGGGCAAAAAGAAAAGGAAAATTCCACGTTACAGGAGCAATTACAACAGTATCAGGCAAGGTGGTTGGAGTACGAGGCTAGGATGAAATCAATGGAGGAGATGTGGCAAAAGCAAATGGCATCACTGCAAGTGAGTATCAAAATAACATGTTTGCATTTAGGTGATTATTGTTGACCAACACAAAAGGTCTGGATAATCGTCGAAGTAATTGCAAAAATAATATGATCCTGATGATCACAGCTAATCATGTAAACTGACTATTACATTAAATAATTGGCGGATTGTAAACTTTACATAGGAGCTGACACCACAGCTTTGTTGTGGACCCATTCACTGCCTGTAAAGATTCCTTGTCCTGATATGTCTTGATGGTGTGGAGGTGACTGTTGGTCGCAGAAGGCTGCCAACAACATAGCTAGCTTGCATCCCTTGTAAAACTGATAGTTGCATTTTGGAGAGTGTGTTCCTTGATCGTTATGACTATGTACCATGATGTGCCTAAAGTTGGAACTAAATCATCATAAAATTTTAGGTGGAGGTCAGATATATAAGAGTGAACAAACCTGGATGCATATTGAGGAAAATTTATCTAGACAATTCTTCATTAATATTTTTACTCACATAGAATAATTATAGTGATATGCCTTGATATACTTGCTCTTGGATGCTACAATGGCTGTCATTCCTTAGTTTGTACGGCATTTAATTGAAAGCACTGTCAAGATTCATGAAGTCTAACAAGATTATCAAGCTCTGTGATGGCCTTGATATATACACACATTCAAGATTTTTTTTGGTTTTCTTTCCCCATGATATATACATTGATGTGAGACTTGCATGTTTAATCGATATATATATTGATGAAAATTACATTTATCAATAGAAATTATGTTTATAATTACAATTAATAACCTCTAAAATATATGCAAAAGAGATCAATAAATGCATGGTTAATAAGTTAATATCTTAGATGTCTATTGATTTCAATTGCATTTATTGCAGACAAGTCTTGCTGCTGCCAAAAAGAGTCTTGCAGCTGACAGCACTCCTGGTCTAGGAAGAGTTGATATGGTGTCACCTCGCTGTTATGATTCTGAAGATAATGCATCCATGGGATCTCGAACTCCTGGTGGGAGTACACCTGTCTTATTTGCTAGTGCTATGCCTGATCTTGTTGCGGGGAGAGAGAATGGTTTGAGTAATCTGGTGAAGGAATTTGAGCAGCAGAAACAAACTTTTGACGGTGATGCAAAATCATTGATTGATATCAGAACAGCCCAGCCAGCTTCTAATATGAATCCTAATGATGAACTTCGAAGATTAAAACTCAGGTTCGAGACATGGAAGAAGGATTACAAGATGAGATTAAAGGAAACCAAGGCAAAACTACATAAGCGTGGTCATCCAGAATCAGACAAAGCTCGAAGAAAATGGTGGGGGAAGCTAGGCTCAAGAGCACTATAGGATTCCAGTTTAAAACGATCATCTCATTTGGTCCAAGCACTATGGAGAATTGTTGCCAAAACGCTGCCTGCTTACATACTCAGATGCAGTTACTTTACATTTATGGCAACAATTATAAACGTTTCTAAAGTCCGCCGACGGCGAGAGAGACATTGCATTTTTATGTCTACCAATTTTTGTTACTTGGTGGGAGGAATTTTCTTGTGCATAGACAAATAGGAATTTGTTGAGTTGAGATTGCTTTCTTCTTTGAATAGTTTGTGTACATTCTGTTGTGAGTGATGTAAGATCCAACATTGTAGTTCCTTGTATACAGATGAAATGAGAAATGTTCATATGACTTTCGCTAAATTATTAGTTATTGAAAGTACATTTTTTTTTTTTTAATATTGGGGATGAGGGTTGAAGTTATTTGGATCGAACCTAAGTCGTACAACGTACCACAATTTCTAAGGTTGTTGGTTGTACTTCGAGGTTGGTGGAAAATAGTACAATTTTAATGTGTGCAGTCTCTCATCTTTGTCGAACACTTGACAGAAGTACCGTAAAACAAAGAGATAAATGTATTCTAGTATTTTACTAGGATTAGGATTTTCCATTTTTATGATTTGGTCAAAACCATCGCTTAACCTTCCATTCAAATCTCAACAATCTATTTGCATGATAAGGGATTGTACGATACTGTTATTTCATATAAACATATTTCATGTAAACATATATATACTTTTTTATTTAAATTATATCATGTAATTATATTAATAAAAAAAATCACTGATTATATATCATATGCATGAGTATGTTTAAATGAATACTCATCATTTTTGTTGAAATAAATATTTATCATTTGATTATTATATGTGATGTATAATAAATAATTATATTTTATAATAATACATTTATGTGACATAATTTGAAAAAAAATTATTAAATATACTGATAGTAAAATTTTTTAATTTTAAAAACGAAATTAAAATCATGATACATGTCTTTTATATATTTAAAATAATTAATTTAAAAAAAAATGAGATATGTGTTATTATTTTAATTTTACTTACGGAGTTAAAAAAAAGTTTTATTATTAATATATTAAATAATTTTTTTTTAAAATGAAAAACATATATTGACGTGAAATGACATTTTTACACAATTTTTTTCTTATCAGCATCAACTAACCGCGCACGGTACTCGATCACAAATTACATTGAATATCAGTGTTAAAAAAAATGAAAAGGAAAAATTAAATTTGAAAAAAAGGTAATCTGACATGTATGATTTGTCCTTCATGTGAAAAAAGTAACCGACTTGTAACAGTAGCTAACTTCTCTCCGACATTTTTGAAATCTCTCAACGGTCGAATTGTTAGACAGAGCTGCCACGCTGTTCCATTAATCATTAAATTAAAGTATTTAACCTTAATATCTCCGAATTAAATAAATCCCAACCATCCAATCCTTTCAATCAAACGGCCTGAACTCCCCCTCATAAAAAGTCTTCAAAACTCTCATTGGATTGAGTTTCAACGACACCGTTTCTTGAACTCTCTGTCTCTCCATTCCTTTGCTTTTAACAAAGAAGCCAGAGAGGCAACCCACCAAAAAAAATGGAAGATTTAGAGCCTTTAAGTCACCTCCAAAAAGTTTGTTGATTACTTGATTCCAATTCAAAACCCCCTTTTTTTTTTCTAAAAAAAAATATAGCTTTGACATTTAAAAGGAGATTCAAGCAGAACAGAGAAAAACAAAAAAGAAAAATGGCTTTCAAGAACCAAAAGGATCACTGGGCATTTCTGGTAATAGATTAATACCCTTTTTTAATTTTGATTTTTGTTGGGTTTTCCTGGTTTTTATTAACTAATTTTCTTTTTGTTTTCTTTGTGATTGGCAATATTTTAAATATGTATTTTGTTGCCATATTTCATTTTCCTTTCTGGGTTTTGTTTAATTTGTTTATGTATATATTTTTAATTTTAATTTCTAGGTTTTGTTGTTCCTGGGGTTTTAAGTTAATCACTATGTTGATTAATTAATGTTTTGAGGGATTCGAAATCGGATACCTTGATTAAAATGCCGATAAGGGTATGTTTGTTTGCTGGGAAAATGTAGGAAACATGAAAAGGGAAAAATTAGAATTTCAAAAATCTCAGATTTCATAACTTTTCCTTCTTAATTTTGCTGGGTTATTCAAATGATGTTTGGTTTCATGTTTTCTTGGTAATGGCTAATGAACGATCTTTTGATCTTTTCTTATTTTCAATCTAATTTCCTTTTGTTCATTCATTGGAAAAATTGTTGTTTTATGTTGATTGAAATATGTAGGAAGAAATTGAGGCACCAATGTGGGTGGACCTTACCATAGAAGCTAAGCTCAATGGCCAAGCCATGTGAGTTTCTGGTCAACTTGTTATGATTCCTACAAGTAATTTGACTGATAAATATACATGTTAATGACTTTTCTATTAAGATTTGATTTATATATAGTTTTCGGTACATTGCAGTGATGACGAATGGTTCCAAACAAGTCATCTGTACGCATCTTTTCATTACTCAATCACAGTTTCAGTAGCTATGGTATTATAGCTAATGACATTAAGATTGTAATAACATAGGAGATTAAATTAATGTGATTTTCAGGTTCCACCAATCCTCTTCTCGCGAGTTAAAATCAGCATTTTTTCTTTCCGGTGAGGATGGGATAGGAGCATCGTCATCGACATTCCCACAGTCAGTTTCAAGATCAAGAGGCAAGGACTACAGGAGCAAGAAATGGAAGGGTAACTTTCATGATGTTTCATTAAATAAGATACAGACAATGAAGGTTTTGAATGGGAAGTCTTCAGGGTTGGAGTCAGGGTCTAGTGAGGGAATAAAACCTAAACTGAGCTTTATAGGTTTGAAAGGAACTTCCAGTTCAAAAACGAGTTCGGTTTCTGAAATAACTGAGAATGTCAAAGGAAAAAATGTCAAACCTGTATTTTTATGTGAAGATGCACAAAGGAGTTCAAGTCCTGTGGCAGATAAATCAGGTGAAACCAATAGTAGAAGCACAGTTTCAACCGAGAGCATTCAGCAACAGCAGCAGCAGAAGTTCTTTGAGGTATCAAGTCGAGGCTTTGGTCAAACAAGTGAGCTTTTATCGTCAGTGAGGATTAGTCTTAGGAAAAGTTGCATTACAAGACCAGCATCAAGGGTGGAGATTAAAGCTGATAGGAGGGAATCAAGAGACCATAAATCTTCCTCCAGCAAGTCTAGTGTGGGATCATCTTCGTATTCTGGCTATGACGTTAAGAGATCAACTATTGCATTGATAAAGAGGAAAGAACAAACCACAGATAGCAGGAAAATTTCTAATATGTGCAATGCATCAAATGTTAGAGGCAAGGAAAGGAACTGTAATACTGGGACGGAAGGTCTAGTGACTGTTGCAAAGCCAACTTGGCAGGAAGTTGCAAAATCAAAGGTAACAAGCAAAACTGTGTGCATGTGCATTTTCACGTCTATAACAGTACACATTTGGAGTTTTGAACTTATTCTTAATACAGAGAACAATTTTCAGGTTAATTAAATAATCCTTCATTTTGACTGCATAAGCTGCTTACCCATCCATTTTGGCTGAGGGGGGAAAAAGGTAGAATTTGCATAACTTGAGCTTTATTTGGGTTGATTTTCTTGTAGCTGCCACATAAAGTCAATGAACAAAAGTCACTTGCTGGTACTACAAAAGCTAGAGAGAAAGTGGGATTTGGTAAAATCAACAAAGTGACAGGCGCTGGGAAAGAAAATAATATAGGGGAAATTTCTCTGAGCCAGAAATGCAATGGAAAAGGCAATGCTGCTGGAGGCATGGTTGTGGGTAGAAAAGGGACAAGTCAGACTACATCCCAGAAGGGTGTCAGAACAGGACCAGTTGTTCCCAAGGTACTTATCTTTGGTTGTCTGTTGTTTTAGCCTTTGCAGCCAAATTATACAAATGATTTCCGATAAAAATGGTCTGAAATCCCTACCGGAATTCTGATCATTCAAACCTGAGGAGGCCTCCACTCATAAGTGGTGGCTTATCTGTTATGATTTTATATAATAGTTGAAAAAGTGAACACTTAGAGAATCTATGACCAGTGACCAGGATTTCCAGGTTTAAAAAAGCCACCATACTTCTATCTCGAAGCAACATAACCTCGAATGTTCACTTTATTTTGCTTTCGAGATTGTTTTGTACTGAAATAACCTTATTCTTCAATCCTTTGGTTGTCGAAGTGACTATACTTTCAATGAGACTAACAATAACCAATTCCATTGTTATCTCATCCAGTGTCTGATTTATGTATATACTTTCCAACAGGGAAGAGTTGGCAATCAAAGGGAAGGGAAGACTTCCACCAATTCTACTCGGAAACTCTACTTTCGATGAGGGAGCAGAGCAGACACAGCCAGTCAATCTGTATATAATGTAATTGCTTACTTCTTGTAGCCATGGGAGCAAGCATACCCCTTTTGTACCACATTTTGGTGGTAAATTTTGGTTCTCATGGCTGATGTGAATGTTCGTGAATGTTCATTTTCACTGGCCATAGATTTCTTTTGTATACATCTCCCAAGAATTCACGGTGCCTTTCTGATCCTTACTTTGTTTTCAAGCCTGTTTGAAATCTCTTTCATGGAGTTTCATTTTACAAGAAAATTATCATTACAAGCAAGTTTTCCCCTACTCATTTCTGGATTCCAAGTAGAATTCAACGAATCTGAACTACATGTAATGATAAACACAAATGAGAGCATTTCATACACCTGTCCAAATACACTGCGTGTAACTTTTACCTTGCAAGAACCTTAAATCTTTTAAAGCCTAATTTAGCATTGCTACAGCTGTCTGAAAAAGTTTAATTTGAAAAAAAAAAAAGTGTTTAAAAGTTTAGTGAGACAAAGTGATTTAATAAAAAAAATGCTGTTGATGTATTAAAATGTCTAAATATATATAAAATAATAAAAGTTAGTTACAGAGAAAAAAATAATTTTACCTTTAAAAAATAAGTTTGAATTGCAAACACACCATAATCTAAAATATCTAAAATATGATACGATAATAAGACAATAACACGATATGAGAAAAAGATATGAAAGTCACACGATTTAAAATTTTAACAATAATTATAAGTTTAACAAAATAAAAAAAAAATTTCATGTTTTTGTGTCGACACAAATTGCAATATGTAATTTTCGTATAAAACATAATACGAATATACAAATTTGAATATTTTATATGATACGAATATATAAATCATCAAATCTAAACACACTTCCAAAGGGGTTTTTGTGTTTGCAAAACTAAACTAAACTATACGACAGCAAACCACAATTTTCCCCGTTTAGGATTGAGGTTGCACTGGAAAAGACGTTTTTACCAAAAGCCCATTCGCACCTCAATGGTTGAGGGGCCTAAATCTCGCATCAAAAGGTTGATATCTAAACATATAGTAAGATTGTTACTTTATAAGTGTAAAACAAGAGGAAAATGAACATTCGACCAGTTTGATTATGAGCAAAACATTACAGATCTACCAGCTAACTTGCCAATTAAATTCTTGCATTGGGTGTACATACAAATCTAATCGATAACATTCTTTTAATCTCGGACAAAAAGTTAGCATAATGTAGGCAATACAGATTTATACCTTTCACCAGCCATCCCAATGCAATTACCCTTTGAAAATCATTTACACTGAGCTGGATAATGTTGATCTTCAATTTATCCGCATAATCTGCTATGCTAGGTGCTATCGGCATCGCAATACACAACCACATTGGTGGTGGCGTGATAACACTTATCTTCTCAGAGCACCATAACTTTTTGTTACCTAAGAAACACAAAGAGACAGGTTTGGTCATGGAACCCCAATAAATAATGTAAAGGGATCTATAGCAAGAAGGGAAAAGAAGTTTGATATTGTGGGCGTGGTTCTGTAGTTCTTCTGGCCTTCCTTCATGTCGTAGACTACAGCAAAATATGTACCGAACACAGCAAAAAGAAGTAAAAGAACAATCACTAACCCGAGGTTGAGACTTATTAAATCTCCTTGCAATTTCTTCAGTATCATCGTCATCATCATCATCATCATGCTTGTTCACGAACACTTTATGAACTGAAGAGTTATCGGATTTCCTTCCCCGCTTAGATGTAGATCCTCTACCTCTTCCCCTAGGAGCAGCTCTTTTGCGTCCTTTACCTTGAACAATTTCATCATTTTCCTTCAAAAGATACAAAGAACGTTATTCATTTTGTGTTTCATTATTTTAATATGGTATTATGCTATCATGGACAACACAATGCAAAGACAATAACATAGGTGATTTTTGTTTGAAGGATAATGTATGTTTGAACAGACAATCATTCATTAGTTTGTGACCAAAGTGCATCGTCGCATAAAGAAGAAATAGAAAAGGTGGCATGGAATGTGTGTGTGAAATCAACTGACTGAGAAAGTAGTCCATACCGAACTGTTATCAACCTCATTAATTCCATATTCTTCACTTGAAGCAGAGTCAATGTTCTCCTCATCATCAGCAATACTTTGAACTGCAGCCGCTGCAGCAACTGATGCAGATCTGCATTAGGCAAATTACCCAAGAAACTTAGCTAGTGATGCAAATGTCCAAACTTTTAAGGAAAATAATAATTAAATTTCTAGTGAAATAGAGATAGAGATACAGCATACTTCTAACATCACATAATATTTCTAGTGGTAAGCTCAGTTTTTTCATTTTCAAGTAGCAGCAAATATTGGCAGCCCCATTAATACAAAGCAACAAAGATTTGAGCAATAAATAAATTGAGAGCTAGCAGTTGAAGCAGAAGGTATCAGATTTTCCAATTTATTGATTGATACTGTATCTAATACTTATTTCTCTAGCCATAAGTCAAGTTATTTTTTAACAGGTTAGATCGAAGAAGTGTCACCTTTGAGAATGGCGAAAACCCAATGTAGCATCAAGAGTTGTCTGCTTTAAGCCACTAGAGCCTCTGCCTCTGCCTCTACCCCTTCCTCTGGTAGAAGTTTTACTTTTACTAACTTCTGGGGCATCACGAGATGATCGAGAAGCTGTCAACGACCCTTTCCGGCCTCTATTGGCAGAGCTCAATAGCTGTGCTGTGTCTTCATCGTCACTAAAGGAGGCTGCACTTCCTACTCCTGTATCATTTTTACTCCTGACATTCTATAATATTGAAGAAACAGAAGTTTAGATGCAGAGAATGCTATATAAGCAACCTGAAGCAACATTTTAAACAAACAGAAAGTGGAACGTATGGAATTATTGTTGATTAACACAGAGCAAATATCAATTGAGATCACCTCAAAGGACTGCACACTTGATGTGAACTGAAGGGCATCCTTAGGGTGTGAAGACCTTTCCTTGACACGTTCCTGCAAAATTAACAAATAAATTAAAATATAGCCTACTGTTTCTGTCCACTGAAGGTACTAATTACCCCAGCAATAAAGAATGATTGACTAGGGAGCATTTTTGCAGTTGGGCAAATTGCTTTTAGCATTAAAAGGTTGTAGTAATATTTATATCAAGAATAATCAACTTGAAAATCCTTGCCTCCAAGCACTCTCCAACTTTAAGAATTAAGTCTTCCTCTTCAAACTTTGAAGCATCTGAATCCTTTCCAATTTTGTTCTGTAGAATCAAAAGAGTGAAGAAATCGTTAACATTAAACAGGAACAAGATGAACAAAAGAAGTAATCAGTGACAAACTAATTAATATTCACACAAACTAAAACAAGCAAAAAAACCATACGATTATGTCATACTGTATCACCCAAAAAGAATTTATAACAGGCAGATCCAGTCGACATAAAACCAAACAAGGATTAAAACATAAGATTATGTCGCACTGTATCCCCATTTTGACATTCAGCTTTATGTTATTTTAACTGCATAGTGGGGTGGACTATAAAATACTTACACGAGTTTCTTCAAGATTGTATTGCACACAGTTATAGAAAGCCAATTTGTCATCCTTATTAACAAAATTGTGCAGTGCAACATCCAAGTCATTGACTGGAAGGATCTCCATTTTCTGCAAGATAGACATGATAAGAAGGGCCAGGCTAAGGGCAAAAACAAATAAGAAGGGCCACGATAAGGGCAAAAACAATTCATGATAAATATTTGATCCCTGTCATGCAAGTCCCATTTAGTCCAGTAACTGAAAGAAAACTGGGAATCTGATACAACTTACATATACAAAAGCACTGAATGCATGATTTGTAATCATGTGCAATTGAGTATTGCATGCAAAATACATAATTTGTTTTCAATAAAAAATATTTTCCATAGGAAAATTATTTTAAGAGACATTATCCATAGTACCCACCAGGACTACACTAAAATAAGTACTAAATGATTTATGTAAAATAATCAAGTAAGAAGGAAACAGGGAATAATGTTTGATTACCAGGTTATTTTCAGCAACTAATGCTTCTATATTCTGTTGATTTAATTCTTCTGGGCGAAGCCTTTCAGAATCATCAATTTTGGCTACAATCATAAAGAAACTAAAGGTAAACTGACGCTATACAATGCTTCTATAAGCTAACATCAAGCAGATAAAATTATGAAAACAGAAGAGCTTTGAAAATATAAATGCTGTTGTGAAAACTTGCTTATAGCAAAAGATTGCTCATAATAATATCTTAAACTGATAGGGTGTGCTTGGTAGAGTTTAAAAGTTAAAGGATGGATAGGGTGGGTGGCAAAGTCGAAAGAAAATAAATTTTGGGTGTGCTTGGTAGAAGAGAAATGTGAGAAGAAAGAAAATAGGAAAGATGATCATTTCCCATACTTATTCACGAAAACAAATCATTTCAAATTGGAAAGGTAAGGGCGGTGGTGTGAGTCAAGTATTGCATATTTACAAGATTGTCCATCATATTTAGTTGTTATTCTTTTCATCTTAATTTACAAAGGATATAATGATAAAATAATATAAATTTTATTTATTTTTATTTTTTAACTATACCAAGCAATTGATGGAAAGAAAATTATATTTTCTTTCAAAATTTCCATCTTTCCTACCACGCACCCCAATGGAAAGTGAAAATATATTTTCCATCTTTCCACTTTTCTTTCAATTTTCTATCTTTTCATTTTCCATCCACCCTACCAAGCAAAGCCATAGTTTTCAGAAGTGAAAATAAACTTTCAAGCCAATAGCAGTTTCAGTATACGTTTGTGACTTTTGCTCCATGAGCCTTGTAACATAATATTTCACTGGCCACCTATTCTTATCTTTTTACCAAAAGATTTAGGGGTTTATATAATTAATTTCAGCAGGCATAAGCTTGTTTATCTCTGGAAGAAAGCAACCCATGTTCCACACTGTACAAAAACTTACTTGTTTGCACCCCCTCTCCCCAATTTCCCCTTTCTTTTTTTAAAAAGTATGGTGGGGAAGTAAACAGTTAAATTCCCTAATAGTAACAATTGATTAGATAACTAAGTATGGGTGCTTAAATTACCTTCTTTCTGACTCCTTTTAGAAGCCTTGGAGAATATAAGAATGTCTTGGGGATTTGCAACCTGCAAACATTGAATTCTAATCATTTAGTGTCAGAATGAGGGAATAAAGGAAAAATTAGACCTTATTCCTCATTCAAAATGAGCAATAGCCTCAAGATACCTTCCCAACATACTTCTGCCCAAATCTTTGAGGATTTATTGTCATGAATCCAGAGTAATCCACCTATTATATCACTCAGAAAATTGAAAAGGTTATCTCTGGATGCTAGAGATACATTCTCCTTGGGAATCAATGACTTACATTGTCAAGACACACAAGTAAAATATAAAATAAAAAATTGTACACCAAATCAGTACAAAAGTTTACGAATGAAATAAAGTTTCTTGGTAAGGAAAGGTCAAATTCATGAAAAACTTTTAATAAAATGAATGCAACAATGCTTTATAATCCAAAATACGAAGTTATGGCTGAATGATACTAAGAAAAAAGGTTTAAAAAGATGTGTAAGCATTCTCCAAAAGATGAAGTGCTAGCAAGAAAGATACAATGACGAAAATTTTCCCAAATAGTAATAGATTTGAGACATGACTCATTAGACAACATGGAAATTTTCAAGTTAGATCCTTGATATCAGTCACCACATCACTGAGACACACCTCTGTGAATAAAACTTCAAACAAAAAGGACAAAGAAAAAGGCAATTTGATTTGAAGATTTGAAAGAAAAAAGGGAAAAGGCAGGGAGGAGGAAAAATGATACAGGTGGTTGAAAAGACAAATGCCCAAGAGAAATCATGGCTGAAGATAAAACTAAGAAAAGAATTTGTTTGGTTTAGTTGAGTTAGAAATCTTAATCAGTTGTTCTTCAATTTCCTTTGAGAATGTGATAGAGACATGAGAATGCAGTGGCAAGAGACGGCTGTTCTACCTCTCAAAGGTGAAACTTGTTTGATGAAAATAAAACTAGGTGTAGGAATCAGCTATCATAGTAGCATTTTTTACAAAACAGAGGCTGAAATTACCTTAACTCGGACTAATGGAAGCTTGAGGTCTGATCCATTAACAGCCTTCCTACTGGACTTCTCTATTAGATTGCTGACCTAAAACAAAATTTAAGTTATCATGATAAAGTTGAAAAAAGGATTTTGTTCCACCATAAATACTTAAAAAATGTAATCTGTTAGGCTCCTCCATTAGATGCAAGAAAAGAGACTTGCCACTTTGTCCAAATATTCAAGAATAGAGTTCTGATCATTGGGATCAATGTCAGGTTCGTCCTTCAACACAACCTAAATCATGAACATTGAGTAAGACAACAGAATTCTGATGTATTTCTTGCATTTTCTAGGTAGTTACAAAATAATTAAAAACGATATTGCTTTACCTCTGTATATTCGAAAGGCCTCACTGATGTCAAAGGTATTTTGGTCGGACGATATTGATTTCCCTAAAAACAAGCCGTGTAAAAATATAATGAAGAAACAGATACAGCTTGATTAAATGACAAATCCAATCTTTCACCAACATACAACCTTAATTTCTAAAAGGAGCACATGCTTTGGCTTTGATTCTCCATCAATCAGCGATGTTGCAACTGAGGAACCTGGTTGACTAATGTGAAATCCCATCCCTGGTACTTCCTATGAAATTGAAATGAGCCTTCAATCTTTTGCATCCTCAAAGGGATAAACAATAACACATGGAAAAGATTTTCCAATTCCAGCACCTGAGGGTCAATAAGACATTCATGTTCATGTCCCCAAACTACGAAATCCAGGAAGCGTGGTAAGAAGCGCTCATTTATGGCATTTTTAGGGTTCATCTTCACTCTGCAAGCAACATTAGTTAAAAGTTTTAATATGTACACATGTGAAATTGTGAATTTACACTATAATATCTTCTTTTTCCACTTTTATTTTTGGACATACATGAAATGACTCAATCACAAAGCAGAACACATGTTAACATGAGACACACAGACATGGACATGCAACACCCACACGCACACACAGCACCTGTTCTGATGAAGTGCCAGAATGTTGAACCAATCAGACACTTCATACCCTTCTTGAGGTTCAGGTCGCATCCATTGCACAGCATGGGGTGTCTAAGAAACCAAATATAAACCACACAAACAGGTCAATAACTGAATATCTGGGAAGTCACAAACTAATAAGCTGTAAAAATATGTTCAATGTAAACTCATAGAGTACCTGAAACATTCTATTGAGCCGTTCATCTCTAATATTCCCAAGACCATAAAGAGCTACAGCAGTTGAGCCCTGCAACTCAAAAAAAGATGTAAGGTTTCCAATGAATACACAATTACTCTTGTAACTCATTTTAACGAAATGAGTAGCAGACCTTCCTAATAAGAATAGGGTAGAGAGTAATCTGACCAACACCTGAACCCCCAAGAACCATTTTCCCGAAATAGTTCACTAGGTTACATGCTGAAAGTATATCAACAGCAGAAAGGTTGTCCTGTTACCAATAAACAGTTAGGAACAGAAAGCTCATAGTAATTTTAAGAGCAGCAAACTTATGCACTCTACAAAAACATGATTATCTAACAAATCAAGAATAGGGCAAAAACGGTTGGAAAGGCTTGTCTTTGATTATTCAGTCCATATATATAGATAGGCATGGGATTGGTGATTTATGAAAACTTATGACACAAACATAGCATAGGACACCAAAATTCGAAAAAGAAAAGATTGAGCAAGCAAGATTTATCTCTAAAATGAAAAAAAAAAAAAAAAAAGGAAAAAGGGGGAAAAAGCGTTTTTCCATAAATTCCTTACAACTCCAGCAGGATCATCATGGTTTCCATGAATACTAAACACTGGCAAGCCAACATTGAAGTGAGGATCTTCATAATTCACATGGCCAAATCTGAAAAAAGAGAAATGCTTGTTACAAACTAAATGTGATAATCTTTGAAACATCGGTCAAGCAATCAGCGAAAAGAGCACATTCGCATTTTGACTGCGATATTAGTGTATATCCAGGAAACAAGTGAATAAACTAACTTCGATCGCATTAACACAAAATCGAAGTCATGAAAAAAATACATCTATCAAGGAAAAAAATAAGGCAAATAATCAATGATTCAAATGTCATTACAAGATTGTCACCATGTCGATTTACTAGCTAGACAAAAATTTGAGCCTTACGTAATAAGGCAATGAACAAGAAAGATATAACATACAATTTAGGCAATAAATCAGCAACTCATGACACTGAGAAAGAGAGAGAATGGTTACGTATTTGGAAAATTCACGGTCTGATCGCTAACAACTTGAAACTGCACCGGTTGATCATTAAGGCAATGACGACGAAGAATCTCAATGGCCTTAACTAAAGTTGACCTTGAAGGCTTATTTTCATGGAAAAGATCTCCACCAAGGAGTAAAAAGTCAACCTGATACCAAATAACAATTAGCGCATGGTAACACTAAATAAAACGTGAACTTTCCTAGAAATTCCGTGTTTTTTCCCGGAAAAATCGTAGTGACTATAACAAATTCCAAGCTTATAGTATTAAGGAAACTAAAAAAAAAAAAAAACCTGCTTTTCCTCTGCTATTGAACATATCTCATCAAAAGCTTGAAATGAATCGTGTCGTCGTATTTCATCTTTCTCCATATAACCTAAATGGCAATCCGTCGCTACAAGTATTCGAAGCGTGTTGCTAATATCGTCCCTGAGAACTCTCTTTGATTACGTTCCATTCGAATTTTAAAAAAAAGAAAAAAAAGATAAAAAGGATAAATTTTTACCTCCTTGAGTCGGTCGTCATAGCAACAGATTAGCTCTAAATTGAAAACCTGAAAAACAGCTAGAAAATGTGAAGAACAAGTAAAATACTTCAAAAAATTTTCAAAATACAAAACCTGAAGAACTCTATTTCCAACAGCAAATAAAGCAAATAAAAAGGAAAAATTAAAAAAAAAGGGAGAAACAAATGAGATTAGATACCAAAATATACCACCAAGTGTAAAAATTTACAGTCTTTTGTGAAGTTGAGAAAGTGGAAGAAAAACGGCGCGGAATTTCAAAGAGAACGGAGGAAAAAAATGAGAAATAATGGGACGAGAATTTTGGGGGAGACAACGACCCGATCCAAGCAATCGGACTGTTTTGATCGGGTCAGGTATGTAATTCGGATTGAACCCGGCCCATTTATTGATTTTATGTATCTAAAATAGACCACTTTCCACAGAATTTAAAATACAACATCAAAAAATACATCATATATTTTAAAATTATATTAAAAATTATATATAAATTTAATAAAAATAAAAAATTTTATATTTTTTATTTTATATGTTGATATAAATTATAATGTAAATTCATAAAATAAACATGCAAATGGTTAATATTTTATATTATATAAATATTTAAATTATTAGGTTTATTTATGAATACGTGTGGTACAGGCTTTTTAAAAAAAATTGAAGAGTCAAAGGAACATAGAATAATAAAGTCATCTATCCAGGATTAATTTCTTTACCATAAACTTTTCTTACTCGTTGATATTAATAATTTTTTTTATAAAAAAATATTAGAGATAAATAAATTGTTTAATTTTTTAAATCAAGATAAAATATATCATATTTGATAATTTAAGACAAATGATTATAGATCGTGTATTCGATATGATTTCGACAAGTGATTATTGATAGAATTTAAACTCAAAATTTTTTTATAAAAAAATAAATTTAATTAATTGAACTAATTATTTATTGATATATTAATAATTATATTATAGATAACTAGGGAACATTTCCAACGTAGCCAAGTTCTAGGAGATGGCGTCAAATATTGCTGCATGTTAGGCCCCGGAAATTTTCAGTGGTTAAGAGTAAGGATGCAGATAAAATATTAATGTTCGTAAATTATTTAAATTTAATTTAATAAAATTTAAATTGATTATTATGGAATCGAATTTAAATTTAAATAATTTGATTTATTGATTAAATTAAATTTGAATATTTTTATATTCTTTTTAAATAACTTGTAAGTCTAATAAAATTTTTATATTTTTATTATTTTAATTAATAAGATATTTCAAGCTCGATTTTGAGCACAAATAATCGAGTTTTTGTTAAATATAAGAATTGAATTTATTTTTATATATTAATCAAATCTAATATAATAAATTTGAGTAACTTGACATCTATTTCGAATTAAATTCGAATTAAAAAAATAAATTTTGATTAAATTTGGATTAAGTTTCAAATATCAAATTTCAAGTTAAATTCGAATTTAAATTTAATACTGCATCGATTAAAATTTGGTTAATTACACGAACTCTTGTTATGGTGGCTTTGCAGACCCTTTATTGAAAGGCTTCCGCCTTCTTCAAATCTCGTAACTCTTGAAACGACTGAGGCATTTGGCCTGGAAGCTGAAGCTGTTAAATGTGTCAACACAACATTTTGGGTTTTTTTAATTATTTCCAAGATAGCTCTTATTTTCAAATTCATTGAGGTTGAATGCATGGAACCCAAGATTCAACTTCTGAAGAAATAAGCTAATGAAGTCATGATACTATGTGCACAAATCACCCAAATCTAAAAATTTAAAATATTTTAGTGTTGGACTAGCTTATAGTAAGGTTTCTTCTAGCAAATGGATTTTCCATCCATTACTAGGACCAAGGGTCCAGTTTCAAATAGACTGGTCCTTTTTTCCCTGGCTCCTACAATTCTAAATTTCAGTAGAGAAATTAGGATAAATTTTCTAATCCTGCAATGTCAGTTGCATTGTTAAAACTTGAACATTAATTCCTCTGGTTTTTGCCTACAATCCTGAAACTATTTCAAGGAAGAACATTTATCATAAAATTGGAACTAAGGATTTGGTCAGTCCAAAAAAATTCTGATCTCTTATTTCAGCATTCACCTAGCTGACACTGTCTGCCAGGGTTGCTTCACATTTTTTTTTCCAAAGAAACTTACTACCATGCATTTACTTCTGGAAATGGATTCTGTCGTTTATAAATTTTTTACAAGGACACATTCTTGTCCACATTTAAAATGGATTTATTCATTGCTGGAAAACCAAAATTTTCTTCATCTCCAAGGGAAAAAAATCCCTGCATATTCTCCATTTAGAAGTTTATTGTCTTCTTATTTGCATGGCTTGCCAAAGTTATTTCGTGAATGAAGTGTAATGCCCCAATCTCATATTGGAGTATAACCAAGTTCTATTATGGTATATATATAGATACTTGAATTTATACTTTGTAAAGTGCTTTTGTAAGACAAAATCATAAGATTTTAGGGTAAAACGAATAATACCTCATAGGTTTTAGTATGGATATCCACATTAAGCTTCATATGTATATTCTCTGGTGTTAGTATATGTCAAATTCACACCTGATACCAGGGAATAACAAACATGTCTTACTGAATTGGCTAGGCCATCGCCTAAACGAAGATTTTAAACTTTCTTGGCCTGGAATTTATGTCTTGCGTTGCTCGAGTGATTATTATAACAAGCATAAATGCTTGTAATGTTCTGCCTAATGTATCTTAGACAAATTTCTGATTCTGATACACAAACCTACGCCATTAAAGGCAAGGAGAAAGAAAGTTGAGAATGAAAGGGTAAATATAGATTGCTGAAGTTGAAACTCTTCCTTCTTTTGCTTCCTTTCTTTAATTTTGATGATAATATTTCTGGACTACGCAGCTAAAGTTTGTACAAGAAGTAAAGAAATGTAGGTTAAATGCTAAGCTTTCACTGTCTCTAAAGCAGAAAACTGGTTGGTTCAGCTTCTGGAACAGCAGAACCCCTGAAAAAGCAAAATTGCAAGGCTGCCAATGCAAAAATAAATGAAATAACCGCAGCAGTGTGTCACAAATGAACCAAAATCAGTTCCTACAATGCATTGCCACCCCGGTCCATACGTTGTGTCAAATTCCTGCATCAAATACCAAAGCCTTCATGAACAGGCCATAACAAAAGATTATGGAATACATCAGATGTAATGAAATTGGTTCAGTCTGCTATGAACCAATTCATTCATGTTCAGATATTTGTGCTTTGGAATCATGTTTAATTGTTTATTTTACCTTCTTTATGAAGCGTGCCATCTCAGTAGCATCATTGACATAGAAGAAATCGAGGGCTTTTGCAGCTAGTTCAAGAGCATCCTCCTGCATGTTTACAGGCATATCAGTCTCTCCAATGGCTGCCTTGCCTTCAATCATGATTAATGTGCAAGAAGTTCACAAAGGTTTCCTTCTAAGAAAGTTTGAGCTGATACAGCACTGCAAAATGAGTCTATTTATATTGAGTTGTGGATTAGGTGGAGATTACATTCAGTGGGAGACAAAAGGGCTAATGCTAGTAGGTCAACCACGTAAGGATTCTATGGTGACCAACAGATTCTGTGGAATTATGCTGAAGAGCCATTTGATACTGCAGAACCTAGCGGACCCTTTTGATTGCAAAATCCTTATAGCTTGCCACCACTACGGAGATCAGCACATGGTATACAAGGGAATGGGAGGGTTCTTTTTTTATACTTATCAGGATTTGAACCTGCTCACAGGAATTAAGAATCCAACACTTTACCAATAGGTCACGAGGCTGTTGGATGCAATGCAAGGCTTGGTCCCATTTATCGCGTACACGTGGATTTCTCCATGTGGCTAATCAGTAGGATTTAGCCATGTGTCAGGCAGCCAGATATGATGCTCATGCCTTATAGTCTTATTTGTCAAGTTCCGTAAAATGAGGCATTTTCTGTTGGGAAAATTAGATAGGACAATCCATTCCTAGACAATGAGAAATTGAGTTTATTGGTTAGGGCTTTAAGTTTATGCTAAAGAACAAATCTGCAGAAAAATGCAAAAGACAGTGGAGGCTAGGCCCCAGGGACGGTACAATAAGCAAATAGCCAAATCGATATACTCCCAACTTTCTAATCTGGTCTCTGAGTTCCTGAATTTTTTAGGTACTGTGAAAAGATGAAAATTCAAGTGCCATTTTATGGTGAGTATGAGGAGAGATATCAGCATCCACTTATTATTTAAGAAATATAGACTGTCTAGCTACTTAATTGTTTAGATTCTAAGCTATTCTTAACAAGTTATTAGCAGATTCAACAATTTGTGTATTTGCATGTCTATTTTGCATTAAATACGTGTAAAACAAGAAATTGGAAAAATTGACTAATTCCAATTTCAAAATGCTAGCTCACAAGATTTATGTCGGCCACTGCAGTTTACGGGATTTGGTTCCTTTCTGATAGCAATGAGAGTCCAAGAAAAAAAATAAACCCAAAGATGCTAATTTCTCTCTCTTTTTCTTTGGTTGCTATTGATAAAATGAGCAACTTTTGTAAAAGGCAGGGCCAAATGTGAACATTGGCTGCTTCAAATTTTTAGTTTTGCCAAAACTTAACCATCCAAGCCCATGAAGGGGAATGCCAGCTCTCCTGAATCCAGAGCCACTCAATTTTTTAAGTGATATATATGATCCGGAAGCCAAAATAGCCAATCACTTGACCATCAGAACAAATTGTTCTAACCCACTTTGCACTGAAAAACAAATTCACAAATAACAAATGTAGTAGTAGATATCATTAGGATGGTAAAATCAAAAACAATGACAGGAACTCAACCAAAATGTTAAGACTTCTGCACTGTCTCAAAATGTAATGTTAGCCTGTTGGTGACGGCTGGTGCTCAATCCCCATTGACATCCAACCCAACGCTGACAGAAAGACAACGTGTCACCACACCTTTGTGTCCGTAAGGCAACCATATCCAATAAGATTCTCCCACCTGTCTTCACCCATGTAAGGAAAAAATAACTTCAAAAATAGAAAAAAAAATAGAAACATTCAAAACCCTCCAACACTTCTTGGCATCTTCCTCGCCACATTTGCCTCCCTACCACTCTTTCAAGTTACCATAATAAAAACTGTTTTTTTTTCTTTGTCCCCCAAAGAACTTTCTTTTTATTTCTGTTTATTTTACTAAATATTACTGTGATATTCATATATCACATATATACTAATAAATACACATTCTGATCAATCTCTCTCCCTCGCTGTGAGCTGATAGACCACCATTAGGCCATCCCTGAGAAAGAGACGCAGCAGGTTAATATGGGGCGCCGTCTCTTCACCTGTTTTTGCAGGGGTTCGTCTTCAACTTCATCAGGAAATGAAGTCCATGCACATGGAAAAACCAATGGAACAGTGGTTGACGCAGCAGCATCATCATCAGCTGAAGGGCCAATCCTGGTGGAGTTGTTCTCTTCACAGGGATGCGCCACATCACTGGCGGCGGAGCTGCTGTTGTCCAGGTTGGGGAGGGGGGACTTTCAGCTGGATGCACCGGTGATTGTGTTGGCTTATCATGTTGATTACTGGGATTACATGGGATGGAAAGACCCTTATGGCTCAAGCCAATGGACAGTGAGACAAAAGGCTTATGTAGAGGCCTTGAGGCTTGACACCATGTTTACACCTCAGGTTGTGGTTCAAGGCAGCGCTCAGTGTGTGGCTAATGAGGAAGATGCTTTGTTATCCAACATTGCTAGTGCTCCCAGGTTCCCTGCTCCAACATTCCAGGTTTGTATTGGGTTTTTTGTTGATCTTTTCTTTGTTTTTCATATTTTTTTGAATGAAGAATTGCATTATTCTATGTTTGTAATAATGAATTCTAGATCTAGCCCTTTGTTACAATCTGTGAGGTTTTTGCTCATTCTGGTCTGGACTCTGTGGATTCCATAAACTAATTGGGGAAAGAAATTAGAAATGCAGTAATTTTAGGAAGTGGTTCCTCTGTGCAATGAAATGATTAACTAAGGGGCTTGATCTTCAAACTTTGGTAAGAAATCATGAAACCATAATGGAAATTATAGGCTTTAGGAAATTAAGGAATTTTATGGAAATACTATCTAAAATATTGGGAAACCAATAAATTTTGAACAATATGCAACATTGATTTTCTAATGACAGTACTATTATGGAAGAGATATGTCTTTGAATCCAGAATTTATCTCACTTGGTTCATGCTCTCACAAGGTGTCATCCGTTCAAATCTCAACATCTATAATCTCCTTTTTTTATTCTTAAACTGTGACCTCCTTCGTAAAAAAAAAAAATGTCTCTAATTATTAACCTTTCACATAAACAGAATTTGATGAGCATCAGATTTTCGATTTTTTTCTTATGGATCAAATGAAGAGAAATATACATTGTAAAGTCCCTAAAATGAAATGGTTGAGCTAAGTTTGGCAAGCAATAATAGATCTTGGTGGACATGGGTTGGTTTGCCATAGTATCTTTATTTTGTTCTCTTTCAGACCTAATTCACTATAAAAAGAATTGGATTATTACACATTCGCTCCCAGTCCACACTCCCTCATTTCTTTCTGTTCATCACCTTCAACAGATGGCCATTTGTGTTAGAAAACTTCCATTTTCCTTCTGCTATTGTTGTTGAACTGCAAGACCAAGGTAGCTATTTATCGAAAACCATAGGTCTAACCTATCATAAATTCACATTTAATGAATCTGCCAACTCTTTCTTTAGTTAATTAGACTATTGACTCGAGTCGAGCTCAAGTCTGGCAGTGTATCAATTCGATTGGGCTCGATGACACCCCTAATTCTTCTGAAATATCAAATAAAGAGTTAAGAGCATGTGAAATTCGCTAGTGAAAAAGTGGTCATCATGCACATTTTGTCTGTAACAGGCTAATTTCCAAAGGCCTACATCAGAGTCCTTGCAAGTGACCCTAACTGGAGCTTTGAGGTCCAAGGTAGACAACAATGGTGTCAATGTTATGGTGGCATTATACGAAAGCGGATTGGTGAATGACTGCCCTGCGGGAGAGAACAAAGGGAAAGTCCTGTCCAATGATTTTGTGGTTAGGAAGCTTGAAAAGCTCTGCACTGTCAAAGACATGTCGCCCAAGAAGACAGTCTCAGGAACTGTTACTTTCACTCTATGGGATGGTTTCAATAGCAACAAATGTTCTATTGCTGTCTTTGTTCAAAACAGCTCCCACCAAATTTTCGGTTCACAGAACTTTCAACTGCCAGATGATGTGTAAAAATATTGAATTTAATGGACATATTGTGTTGTGGCTACAATTTTTAGGCAATTATGTACAGGATGTGTTCTGCTTAGGTATTCATTTATTTTCCTTTTGTTTTCGTTTCTTATTCCTCGTTTTATGTTTTAGGATATGGAGACAAACATTTGCTTTCATCATACGATTCTTTTAACCTTTGCCAATCTTTTTATAATTTACCTATATTTACTATCGCAGTTGGACAAAATTAAGACGGTCCAAACAATAAATCCGACAATTTATAATACAATACAAAAATCATGAAAATCGTGTCTTTTTGTTAAAAAGACATGATCTTCAAAATTGTAGACGGATAGCATACAAGGAGGTTGAGGGCTAGTATGATAGTCCCTTTCAGATATATATGTCATTGTTGATTTCCATTGGCTTATTGAAAAAGTCATTGAGAAAAGCATATGGCTTTGCGGCTGTCATGATTTTAACATGAGTCCTAAAATGATCAATTCCAAATGTATTTTTATTATTAAATTTTGTATAATTTCAATATCATATTATTACTTTTATCTCTCCACTTTATTAGTTAAATATATTTAAATTTTATGTACATTTGATAATTTTAAATACAATAAATTATATAAACAAAAATAATAAATAATTTAAAAAAAACATAATTTAAAATTTTGACGAAACCATATATGAATTTAATATGCACAAGAGCTTGCGGTGTACCAAAAAAATACAGAGAATAAAATACATATCACTTCAAAACAGAGCAAAATTCATGCTTGTCCAGATACAATCTCAAGGTATGGACGACCCTAGAGAATTCTATGGCTATGACTTTAATCAAATATTGCATCAAAAAAACCGAGGCAATATTGCATAAAAGAAAAAGAGGCTAAACACGAAACAATAATACGATATCGCATTGTGCCTTGCATTTATTTTCAAGACAAAACAAAAACCCATTATCTACAAGTAGGATGGCTTTAGCCTAAGAGTAGGGTACCTTGACCTTTCCACTGTTCAAATGTGAATAATGGCGTGAGAACACATTGTTGTCCTCTACAGGAACTTGGCAGTCAACTCATCCCTTCACCTTCTTCTATTCCCTATAGAGCCGCAAATTGAGGGGTTCCAATGATGCATCCTTTTACACCAAAGAAGAAAAAAAGCACTTACAGCCAAAGCAAACAACACTTCATGTTGAAACTATCGCTTCAACTTGCTGACGTGCCAGGTATTTCTCCCTTCTCTCTTTCTGAAAATAGTCAAATCATCAAATGTAAGTAAAATAGTAAGGAAGAAAAGGAAAATCGAGCACTCTTGTGAGATGATTATATCAATGGTTGATTACCCATTCATCAATTACAAGACCTTCCCCAATTACCCGGGGACCTGTGTCTGGGGAAGGTTTCTTGCGTGCTTCAAAAGCAGCCTCAGCCTCAGCCAACTGACGCCTAAGTTTCTCCAATGCCTTAAGAAACAAGAAGAATAGAATTATACGGCATTCAAGGAGTCAATCAAGGAGCTCTGTATTGCAGAAAGCAAAACGCTACTAAAACAATTCTATTCTACTTACAGGGCTAGGCCGTTCCACTTCTAGATATACAACCTGCAAAATTCGTTCTACAGCCACTTGATCCCTTTGTTCATCAAACTGTACAACAGAAGGCATAATCAAAAGTTCTGTGTTAGCACCATTGTCTTAAGTTTAGCAGGAATCAACATCAAACTAACATAAACATGAATAGCATGACTAAAATACTCACAAGTTCAACAATGTACAAATTTAGATTAAAACAACAATAAAACATAACCAACAAGCCGATTAGGCATTAAATAAAAAGAAATACTACGAAAATTTAAATAGTCTAAGGAAAATCTTACGTTTTAAAGGATCTATAGCACATGCCCGCATCAGCTAACATGGCAACCTATCATGTAAGATTGATTTCGGACAAAACCACAAAACCAGTACAATTGAATTTATCGGGCACTTCACATTAATGCACTCTATCCTATAATTAGTACCATTTCAATTAAAAGTTACCAAAAACCACATTTTCCTGTTGCAACTTGTGACTGAATTCATATTATGCAGACGTTTTAAAAAGAAGGTATAACATGGCTAGATAAAACTCTTCTTCCAAACTAGGCACTGCTCTGACAATGGTCAGAAAAAAAGGACAATGCTGTGCATAACGAATGCAAATTCAGTAGATGATAGGATCCCAAGCAGACTACTCATGAAAGATGTGTTTTCTAACCACCAATTCCTTGGAGATAAGCAAATCTCACTTTACCCAACTATGAGCAACCAACTACAGTACCAACTTAATAAATATTTCCACTTCAATATCTTCAACTATCCGAAAATTTCAATTCGAATTCATCCATTCATACTAATGAAATGCTAACAGAACAGGGCCTCCATTGAACTAAACAACAAACGGAAAACATATATAACAAGCAAGAAGATTACTGACTTACAAGCTCAGGCAAGAAATCCACCCCAGCTGTCACCTTCAAACTCATTATCTTAAATTTAACTTTACTCTTTAAATCAACTTGAGCCTCATCATTTTCCGGACGCTCCACAAATTTAAACACTGTCCACAACAAATGAAAACAAAAACAAACACATAACACAAACAAATTATTATAAGAAAATCTTAAAAAACAGAAAAAAGAAAGTCGCGCTGAGAGATTTTATTACCAGTCGCGATAATGCTTTCCCCTGGCGCCAAAATGCCACCAGGTGGACGCATAAAACAACTCTTCGGTGCAGTAGTTTGAAACTATAAATAATAAACAAAAATTAATTAATTAAAGTAAAACAACCAGATAATTCAATAAAATTATCAAAGATTATGCTATTAAATGTAAAATTAATATTATATTTTAGAGGATAACCTTTTTAACTGTTGCGAGAAGCCTAATTTTAATTGATAGTGAGAATATAATTTTTTTTAAAAAAAGTGTAAATTACAGTAAATTTTGACGTAAAAAACAAGAAAGGTAAATAAAAAATTAATAATTTAAATTTACCTTGAAAGCCACGTGAGATTTACTAGTGTTCTTCATCCTGATCGCACTTCTCGCCTGAGTTCCAGGCTCATCTAAAATTAAAAACGATTTGAAAAATTAAAAGATTATAGAAATTTAGCTTAAACAAAGTTACGAAGTAACGGCTAAGCAAAGCGGGGTCGCACAAGGGAAGTAAAGGTTATTAGCAGGATCGAGGCGAAGCCGGCGCCGAGGAGGGAGAAGCGATCTGGCAATAGAAGTAACGATTTTGGAGCGCTTGGCGGTAACCGTCTCCGAATGGCGGTTACCGTTGTGGTTGAGGTTTTGAGTGGAGGAAGATGAGGAAGAGTTATTCGCCGTGGCGGAAGTTTGCCAAAACGGACAGAGACAAAACATCTTCCTCGCGAAGCTCCTCTGCTTCCGGTCGGCAATCGCCATGTGCTGCCGCAAAGTTAGCCCGTCGAGTATGGCTGTAAAGTAGCCACCCTTTGTCGTCGCTAAACAAAAGGAAATAAAAAATCTCGAGGTATTGAATCTTTTGCCTTGGTTTCCTTTTTTATAAAATATTTATTATTTTAATTTTGGATTCTCCTTTTTTTTTTTTTTGTGATTTTAGACATGCAAAGTGGCTACACCCTCGCAGAATTTAAACCCGGCTCGGATTTGAAATTTTTTATCTAATTACTTAATTTCAATTTGGCATCCGCGGCTGACGTGACTGTACTTCGAGGTATTCATGTCATATAGTTAAATTTCCAAGGGTACTTTTGGCTTCAAGGTACAAACTCATTAACATCAACATTAAGGGTATTTTCGTCATATTAAATTTTCTTTTTGAAATATTAAATAAATATAGGTGAAAGATGGAAAAAAATGAAAAGGCGCATTTGCAAGGCTATGTTCGTTAGTGGGTTAGTTGGGATTTTTTGTTTGTTCAAGACAAAATGGTTGGTTGCAAAATTAAGAATTAATTGGTTGAATAATTTTTTAGGGGCTATAAATATATGTGACTCTTTTATTACGAAGGTAGAATAAGAATTTTAATTTTTTCTGTAAGATATTGTGAAAATAAGCTAAAAATTTTTAAATTTTTTTTTAAATTTAAAATATCGATTAAAATATTTTAATTGTATGTGAGCTATAAACTATTTATGTTTGATGGTAAGGGTGTGTTTGATTCTATTCCACCTTAGATGAGATATATTTAGATAATACTAGGAGTGTAAATGATACATTAGTATTATTAAGCTATTTAGGTTCGATTCGAAGAAAATTCGAATTTGATTTTATTATTATCGAGTCGAACTCGAGTTCGAGTAGCTCGACTTATTGATCTAGTCGAATTTGAGTATTTTTATATTCGATTCGAGTAGCTCACGAGCCTAATCGAATTTTTATATTTAAATATATTTTTATTATTTTAATTAATAAAATATTTCGAGTCCAAATTTGAGTTCGAGTTCGAGTTCGAGCATAAATAATCAAACTTTTGTCGAATATACAAATCGAGCTTATTTTTACATATTAATCGAGTTTAATTGAGTGAGTTCGAGTATCTTGAATTCGATCACGAATCGAACTCGCGCTTAAAAAATAAAATTCGATCGAGTTCGAACCGAATATCGAATCTCGAATTGTGAGTCAAGCTCGAACTCAAATTTTTTATTTTATCAACTCAATTTTATTCGATTCAATTCGATTACACCTCTAGATAACACCTTTATAACGTGGTTGAAGGTTTTCAATTATCTTCCCTATTCAATTGGATGTTAGAAAGAGAAGGGTAGTGGTTCAATGGATCTTAAAATAGTCGATTGTTTTAGCTAGAATTGAAGACATATTTTAATTATAACAATCGATTATATTTAATAATATAATCGATTATCATATATAATCTCATGTGATTTTATTATATTTATATTCAATTACATATTTTCATCATTAATTTTAATTTTATTATTATAATAATTAATTTTACTGTTACTATTGTTTCATTTTCACACGAACCAATTTCTTCATCCACCTAAATGGAACATTAATCCAATTGAATTTAAATTTAAAAGAAATAAATAAAAACTGATATAATAACATAATTTGAATTTTTACTGGCATATGGTTTTGTTTTGTACCTTGTTGCACAAAGTCAATGAAACATGGAAAGTTTTTAATTTCTTTTAGGGATTAGTTAATAAGCAGATTTTTTTTTTTTTTGCTTTGGATTGAGCAAAATATTTATGGTTTAAAGATGGTTTGAATTTTATCATTTTATTTAGATAAATTTATGTATTTTATTCTATTTAAATAAGTAGTTAATTTTTAATTTACATTTAAATAAACTATTAATTTTTAATTTATATCTAAATAAATTTTTAATAATTTAATTTATAACTAAATAAACCTTTAATATAAATTAATTTTTCATTTGAAATAAGTGCTTATTTAAATATAAATCAAAATATAAAAACATGTATTAAAAAAAACTAAATCAAGAGCTTTTTGAATATTTTAATCATGAGACATTACATTTTAATAATCATATAATTGTACCTCCCTACTTATTTGTTCTTATCTTGGTCACGCTTGTTATGACTATTTTAATACATGCTTGTATCACACATTTCTATCTGTAATTTAACAAATATACTTGCTTATTAGATTCAAGGTTTTCGTTTACGTTACGTAATTAATAATTTGATTCAACTATTAACACATATTTAATCTTTATGTTCAAAAAATAAAATTCAACTAACCCCTTGCTCCAATCAAAAAGCTGGTATGCATTATGAGCCAACTAATCTTATCATGCCATCCTAAAGAATATTGCAGAATTTTCTTTATTCAATCACATTACATGAACTAGATCAATTCAAGTAGATTCAAGGGGTGTAGGTTTGAGCCTGCCTGGCTAGGGCATTTTTGTTGGCCACCAAACACACGTATAAGCAGTGGCCCTTTGTCTGTACTGCACAATTATTGCATAAAATACCAAATGCTATATACCAGTTTTGATATTATCCAAGTTTGAACTTGGCTCACATTCATCATTGGATGAAGTATTGTTTTATGCTTTATTTTTACTCTTCCATATACACCTACTTGAAGCAATATATATTTTTTATATTATAAATTTCTATATTAAAAAAATTCAAAAAATAATTTGTTGAATACCAACAATTTTAATGTCTAATTAATGTATTGTGATTTTTTTAATTTTACAAGTGAAGTTGAGATGATAATATATATTTTTTAGTATAATTTAAAAAATAAAATATATGTCATCATTTTAATTTTGTTTGTGTAAATAAAAAATTTTATTTTTAGTGTATCAAATAATTTTTTAATATATATTTTTTAAAAATCAATCTCCTAGCCTATTTCATCAAATACAAACTAGGACTTGGTTGAACAATTGATATTACTTTATACCCATAAACCGAATAAATAAAAAGTTTGCATGTGAAAATTTTGTACCGTAGTACAACTAAAAATTCATTATTAATATTATCATGCATGAGATAAAATTGAAGTCGGTATCTTATAATTCAAGGAAACATCCAACATGGTACTTCATTTGAATGACAAATGAAAAGAAATTTTTATCGTGTTATTTTGTTATTGGATTCCATCAAAACTAAACAATTGACCAAAGGCCTATATTAATGGAAACATAATTAATGTCTGGATTGAAGAGTTTGTTTTTATTAAGACCTATCTTTGGTCGAATTGTCAAATTAGATTTAATAATTTATGTTATCAAATTATGTAAAATATTATATTTATATCATATTTTATATAAAAAATTATATATTATAATTAATATCGATATAAAAATATAAAATATAATTTTTTATTAAATTTATTTATAATTTTTTATAAATTTAAGTTATATTATTTTTATATTATTTATTTATATTTTTTATATCATAACATCGTATCATATTTTAAATTATCAAATTAAATTTATATATTTATTTTATTTTTTATTTTGATCGTGTTAAAAGGGCTCGAAAATTCTAGGACCAAGAAAATTATTGTAGACAAAACACATGTCAGAGGTTAAGACCATATATCTTACCAAACAAGTCCTTGCTCCTTAATAATGAAATACTATTTAATATACAATTCTAACGACCCCCCCCCCCCCACCCCCAATTGTTTCGTTTGATTGGACTGTCTTTGATTTTTATAGTTGTACCAAGTATTTTGTGAAAAAAAATAGGAAATATTAATTGATAGTTTTTTATTATATTATTACGGTTTCTGTTAACAGCTGCTCAAAGACACTAGTTAAAGGTACTTCAGCCCGGGTTAAAATATAATATAATAATATAATAAATATAAAATTTAAAAATAATATGATTTAAAATTATAATAATAATTATATATGTATTTAATAAAATAAAAAATTATATTTTATATTTTTATATGAACATAAATTATAATATAAAATTTTTGTAAAATATAAATTATGAATATACGAATTTTAATATTTTATACGATATAAATACACAAATCGTCATATTTATCCCTAACTAAGGTGCTTGATGGAAACACATTTAATTTCAAATCAAGCTCTCCCCCTCTTCCAAACATATATATTAAAAAAAAACACTTATTAAAAATAATTAATTTTATTTTAGTTTTTAAAGATAGTTAAATTATTATTTTTTAAAAAAAATTGCTTCTAATATACTACTTTTACTAAATGCAATAAAAAATAATACATTAATTACATATTTTTTTCTTTAAATATCACCATCTTAATTAGTGTCACTGAGTATTGATTAACATTTCATTTTTACTAAATATAGTAAATTAGAGGAATAACAACTTGTTATTCTTATTCTTTATTTCATTTTATTTTATTTTGGATGTTGAGAAAGGGGATTTGAAATTTTGCTTTTTGAATGAAAATACATTCATTTATTATTAACTCAAATATTCAGGTGTCTTACTTTTTGAAATATAAATTTATTAATTTAATTATGAGCACTTTGGTAAGACTTGTTATTTTCATAAAAAAAAAATTAAAAAAATACACTAGCATATATTATCAATAGAATTTTTCGTCGAAATTAACATATTTTCTTAGAGTAAGCATATGTATTTGGGATCTAGATATTTTTTAACCCATCATTTATTTTTTGGGTTAATAAATTTCTTCAACCTAATTACACTTTACCTTTAAAATGATAGTTTCAAATTCAAAATTAAAATAATAATAATAATAACAAAATATATATTAGTGAAAGATGGTAGTTTAGGGTTATGGCTTCCTGTCAACCAACTAGGCTCTACAAGGGAATGGAATTTAAATGTTATGAATGTTCCAAACTTTGTTTGGAAGGTGAAGATAAATTTTTTTTTAATTTAATAATTAAGTTATAAAGTAATAAATTATAAAATAAAAAAATGATTATAAATATTAATTGTTGGATTAATAAAATTTTCATCCTCATTTATTTTTATTTTTCTTATCAAGCAAAGTCTTTGAGTGTAATATAACTGATAATTTGTTTTTTACTTATTGACATTTTCTTTTGTGACAATAATATGACACTCTAGCTTAATCTCTAATCAAATTCAATGATTTCTTCTTCTAATTTTGTCCATTTCCAAATAGAAGAAAAAGTACAAGACACAACAACAAATCCCATAAAACACCCAAGATTTGTAGGCCCAGAATCTCTCCATAAAAAAAAAAAAAAAAAAAAAAAAAAACATGTAATTTTTTTTATACATAAAAAAAAAAGAATTACCCTTAAAATTTTATAAAATTACAAACACATGCAATTACATCTAATAGGACATGATTCTAACAAATTTTGGTCCTTTATATATAGTCTTAACCAACAATTGAGGATCAATAGAACAATGCCTAGTATTTTGGGTGTACAAAACGACATGCTTAGCTTATGTCGATTGTCGTTTTGGATCTAGACAAGGCAGTCCAAAGAATTAATAAAAACAATAATAATGTTATTAAAGAAAAATAATTTAAATTAATTATGATACTAATCGGTAATTTCAATGTGGGTCGAGATTGGAAAGATAATGGGTTTTTGAGAATTGGACAAATTTGAGTAACTATGTTCCATAAGTTGAGGGCAAAAGGTAAAATAATTGTCTTTGGTTATATCAACTTGCAATGTTTTTTTTAATATCTACTGCTTAAATTAAATCAAGAACAACCTTAGCATCAACTCACATACCACATTTTTTTTGTTTTGTTTTATGATGAACTCTTTGAAATTCCTTCCACAAATTTGGAGGATATATAATAATTTGATTTGTTACTAAAGTATTTAAATTTTATGTACTAGAGTTGATTATGAGATATAAGAGTTCACATAATTTTTTACTTGTAAGATATTTTTTGTTGGACAAAATCTTGAGATTGAGAGAGGATCGAAACGAACAATAACTCATAAAAGTATAAATCGTGATAATTAAGTTGATTTGAAAAGTTGGATGAGTTCATACCTGGAGTTTGGAGCCGCACTAACTTAAAGTTGAGTCTCGACCATGACAAAAATATAAAAAAAAAGGGTTCCATTTCCTTGATGATTGGTAAATTTTTTTTCCTTTTTCTTTAGAAAATGAAATTATCTCAATAATCACAAGATGCACATTTCAAAGCTAAACAGTCCTTTGCTTTATTTGCCCTTTAAATCATCCAAATTCTATACCCAAAATGCAAAATGAGAAATATACTTCAGGTTCTTGGGCCAGTGGCCCAGCCCAAACTCATTTTGACATGGTTGCTAGTTAACCCAACCATAAACAGATAATCATAATAATTAAGTTTTAATTGCTTGCTTGTCTGAGATAGGCAAGAAAAAGTTATAACAATTACTAATTTAGATTTTGAAGCTTTAATTTCTATATGCAAATTAAGGTTTACATGTTTAACTGATTTCATTTTAATTGAAAATATTAACATTTTAAACTGAAGTTAAGAGCATTTAGTGATGTTAATCTTATAAATATCTAATGACAAATCCGATTTTTTATTCAAATAGAGATGAAAATGGATGTTATATTATGGGTATATGGATGAAGATTGGTATAATTTTAATTTTTTATTAAGTATGAGGATAGGAACGGATAATATAGTATTTGCTTTATACCTATATCTATATATATTTATATATATTTAGTAAATAAATTTTTTATTAAATCATATAAATTATTATTTTTAGATTAATTAAAATTAATATATTTTATGAAAAAATATATGTTAATAAAAAATTACTTAAATATATAAGATAAAAATAAAAAAAAATTTTAGTTTTTATTTTTATTTTTAAAGTTATGAGTATAAAGATTATCCATATCTATTAAATATCCATGGAGATATGATGGATATAAATTTAAAATATCCGTTGGATATGGATATGAGAATAGATATAATATAAAAATTTCAAGATGAGGATGGAGAATGCTCTACTTTATTCATTGACATCTCTAAGAACATTTGATTTATAAAATTATTTTAAAAATATGATATTCAATAAATTTTAAATTTAAATTTTAATATTTGTTATCTTCTTTCGTATTTTCAAATCATGTCTCTTTGTAAAAAAATATACTAACACTTTCCGTTATGATTCTTAACCAAAATTTTCATTGAACAACCCTACAAGGAGATAAGAAAAAAAAGTTTCTCATGAAATTTGGCATTATATACACAAATGTTGTAGGGGTATTAGCTTAATTAGGACCCCAACAGCTTAAATACATAACTCTTCGGATTGCTTCAATTTCTAATCTCTCAATTTCTTTGGCAAAGCAGAAGATGGAAGGGGTAGACAGCATTTTAGCCTGAGAATGTCGTCTGATGTTAGCCTTGGCATGTTGTTGAACTGATCTCAACACATAATTCCACCTGCAGAGCCCTTAGATCTTTCAATGCCTTCATGACTCCAATGCTTGTTGCCACCATCCGAGCCAATTTACTTGTGGAGCTAGCTCATATTTCTTGTCTCATTGACTTGGGGTTTGCTGAACTGAAAACTAGAGAGAATTTTGATGAGTTTGATTTGTGATTTTGTTTGAGAATTTGTAGGTTTTGGGGTCACAAAAGGAGTAGTTTTCTTATCTAGTGAAACTACTAGAGATAGTAGTATAAACCGAGTTTAATCAAGTTAGTTCATGCAATAAATTTTAAAAGATAACATTGAGTCCATTTAGATTCAAATCCCAACACTTATAATCTGCCTTTGCACCTGGACAGTGAGGTAGTTTCATGGAAGCACCAGATTTCAGAGCTTTGGAAAAACTATTTAACTCACCTTTTGAACGTTGTTTTTATTGTTCAAGCAATGTAATTAGTGCAAAACTGGCAATACATTCGTGAACAAAAGTACAAAGGGCCTCAATTAGGGCCCCAACAGCTCAAATACATGACTGTTCTAAGTGATTCCTCTGATTTCTTCAACTTCTCAGCATCTCTCATCAGCTTCTTTGACAAAGCAGAAGAAGAGGGAACAGAAATTTTATTAGCTTGAAAAGATGATCTGATATTGTTATTGGCATTCTGTTGGATTGACCTCAAAGCATAATTCCATTTACAAATTCCTTGATCTTTCAACGCCTCAACAGCTCCAATTCTAGCTTCTGCTACCCAAGCTCTTGTTGAAGAACTCATGTTTTTATTTTCTATGCTTTTGGGAGGTAATTGAAATGAAAGGCGAAATGGGATGTTTTGGAAAATTCAAAGACTGGTTTCTCGCTGTAGTTGATTTGTTGAAGCAATGGAGTGGGTGGATAAGAGTTTCTCATATAGAGGAAAGTGTTAGGGGAGAAACCAGAGATAGTATTTGCCTAAACCGAAGGAAAGAAAGCCAATGGTTTGAAGTTGCATAGTTGTTAGAAATTTTAAAAATAAAATATGAGAAATAATTTTATAATAAAAAAAAATAGATAGTTAAGTCTGTTCAAAATAAATAGATAAATTTATTTAATATGAATAGTTTCAACTATTCAAAAATAGATCGTTTTTATTTATTTAAAATAAACGGTTATGTGTGTAAGAAATAACACTTATCTATTTATAAAAATTTTTTTATGATTTTCTAAAAAGATATATAAATAATTCTTGAAACTTTTCTCTTTTTTTAAATTTCATATTTCTTTTGTAAAAATTTTGCTGCAGAAAATTTTTATAGAAATTCAATGATTTTGTGATACGTTAGCGATTATTGGGTGTACTGATTTTGTCGATGTATAATGTAATCGATCACTGAATTTCGTTATATCTTCAATGTTTATTACCTACAATCATTTTGTTTGAACACTTGCTAAGTAAATAATACAATATGACAAATAAAACTTTAAGGAAAATGGTATCGTTATATACTTTGAAGTTTTTCCTCAAAATTATAGATTTATTAGAAGTAATAATTCTAATTTTTTAATATTTGCTCTAACATTAGTTAGGTTAGTAGTACTATAATTATAATAACAAAAGAATTGGTTTAAGAAGTGGCATCTCCTAAATTTGTAATTCAGATTTCAACACCTATAATTTTTTTTTTTTTAATTTTCAAGTTTGAATAGGGAGAATGGTGCTAAATAAAGAAATGGACGAAATAGGGATGAAGGTGTGGGGGAAGGAATTGGTATGGACAAAATCCCCAAAGATAAGATTTTGGCATGCTTTCTGGTTCCTTTGCATATGGGGGCTGAACCTGAGCCCTTCACATCCAATGTTATTTAAGTGGGTGAACTGAAAATGGATCCTCTCTCCACTACTTTCTGTGTGGACTCTCAGAAAAATCTAAAACCAAAATTTAGCAAAAATTGGCAACCGAAACCTCTTGCCGAGAAATCTGTCCAAATCTAAGTACAATTTCGGCAATAATTATACTTCAGATAAAGGAAGAGAGAGATCAGAACGAATATCATGAAACTTCTTCCTATATGGTTTTCCCCAAGGATTGAATCCACCAGAGAAACTAGGCAAATTGAGGAGGACGATAGATCCAATGCTATATAAGAAAGCAACTGTAGCTGAGCTATATATGTTCCTGTATTTGACATGAAGACATTCTCATAAAAACTGACAAACCAAGACTTGGAAAAATGAATAACATCACCTAGAGCTCAATAATCTTACCCAAGAAATAAAACAAAATGAAAATAATCCATTTGGAAGGATACAGACATAAAAGTTAAATGCTCAATAGCCAGGCAATCAACGCACCAAAACAAAGCAGCAGAAAAACATTAAGTGAAAGGAACCTTATAGACAGCTTAAAACAAAAGATCCTGTAATACAATATTTTGTTAGTAGGAAAGAATACATATGGAGATATCTCCACTCCAATGCCGGAACATATGAGAGAGAGAGAGAGGGAGAGGGGAATTTGTATAATCAGTACTGGATTTGATTTTTCAGCTAGGAGCTTAAAAAGTATTACTAGGACAAACCCAAGATCTTGGACAATTTAAGACTATTACACATTTCAGCAATCGTTATCACTGCAGAAAACATGTACTATATACCTAACAGGATCGATACTATAACATGGCCGTCGTAACCTTGTCACATTGGTGACCCAGGTTTGATCCCCGGGCAACGCTGAAGATACATATTTTGTTAATAGATCTATAGATAAAATATTAGATTTTTAATTTTAATAATCAAAATTGAAATCTGAATTTTGAATTTTTGTAGGTGCAATTTCCTCTAAGAATGAAATGCATGTGATATTTGAGCATCCATTCCGTACCAAAATAAAATCGCATTGGTGAATTGATCACTCTAATTAGACTTATTAATACTAATGTCCAATTACCATATGAAAGTTCACATTGAATTATTTTAAGCTGAGTTTTCGATTTAAGAATGTCAATAGATAAAGTATAAGATGAAAGCGCATTATTTTTTTATTTCTTAACTTTTTACATTATACTTATTTTGTATTTATATTCAATGAATATTTTAAATTCATCTCTATTTTCATATTTACAGAAATTTAATGATTACAAAGAATTCTCATACTCATAACTCTTAAAAAAAATATAAAATAAAAATATTTTAAGAATTTTTTTATTTTGATATTATATATTCATATAATTTTTTATAAATATATTTTTTAAATAAAAATATATTAAATCTAATTAATTTAAAATAAAATTTTATTTATTAAATAATTATAAATAAATATATATAATACAATATAAAATGGATGATATATTATTCATTCTTTATACATATTTTATAAAAATTTTAAAATTATACCCCTCCTTTTTTTTTTATTTTTAAAATTTAACATCAATCATAAAAAGAGGATCGTGATCCAAATACGAAACCAAATACGAAACCGATCGGTTGGAAAGTGAAAGTGTGAATTGAAGGCAAACAAAAGAGGATCCTGTTGTAATCAACTTTTGACGCTCACTTTCAAGTTGCTTTCGGTTTGGCCCAACAATAGCCTTTAAATTTATAAAATAAGCCCATTTTTTTTATCCAGGATAGGGCCTGCCCTCGCCTAGCATGTAAGCTTTTGTTTAAATTGGAGGGTTCAGCCTGATTTACATTTTCGTAACTTTGATCCAGCTATCGAACTGGACCATATATTATTATATATTAACATAATAATATCTTCAGGTCGAGCAAGTATTAAATCATAAAATTTATATTCAAAACTCATCTCGAATCGAGCTAATAAATTACTCGACATATAAACACCTCTAAAATTAGATTACAAATTTAAAAAATTATACACACTCTAAATAGTTTGGGTTCAAGTTCATTGGACCTGATCCAACAGAGTCTGAACCTCAACCTATCGGACTTGACTCAATGAGACATATGTGTTAGCCTAATTGTTTATTATTCTTTTATGGGCTTAATTTTATTTTTATTTTTTTTTTATTTTAGTTAATGATAGGATAATAAAAAAATAATAATAAATAAAAATAAAAATTATGATGTTTTTGGGGGTGATGGCAGAGTTACAATTGGTCTTAATTTCCTTAGGTTCAAGAATAATACAGAAATTCAATCAAATGTAGGATTTAGAATTAATTAGGAACTCTTCTAATTCAATCTATAAATACCCCTACTGATCAGAGACAAAAAAATACGAAACAGAGAGAAAACAGAAGCAAAAAATGTTTAGAAAAGCATAGACAAATTTTAAAAATTTTAGGATTTTTTATAGAATTTTCGGGCAAATTTTTTCTGAAAAATTTTTGGAATTTCCAGATTCCGATGAAAATTTCTAACGAAACTTGAATTTTTTGACGTATTTTTTCAGATTTCGACGTGATTTTTCAAAATCTGATGAAAATTCAACTGGATTCTGGGTTATGTTAGAGAAAGAGAGGGAGAGAAATGAGGAGAAAAGAGAAAGGGGAAGGGAAATTTAAAGGGAAAAGATCGGATTTCAGCTTTATATACCAGCATAAAACGATATCGTTTTGGGCGTTAGTAGATACTTAGGATCCGCACATTTCTATCTAGGCCAACCTTATCCAATCGTAACCCGCTCAACTAACCCGTGTACCAGCCAACCATTCCAGTCGAGCCACATTCCCTGAGCCGCGCCTTCGAGTCATTTTTTATGCCTCAAGCCGAGTCGAACTCTAGCTGAGTCGAACTCTAGCCGAGTTGAGTCGTTTCATTTTTGGTATTTTTTTTCCTTTATTTTTTTTGGTTTTTTTTAATTTTTTAGTATTTTTGAATGATTTAATTTAATAAAAATAAAATAAAAAATTTTTTGAGAATAAATATTATAATTATCTAATGATGGAATTTATAGAAATTTTAAATGGTAAATTTCTATAAAATTCTTAGGTGAGAAATTTTGTCTAAATTTATCCCAAATGGTGGAATAATTTAGATAAAGTTTCAATAGCAATAATTAATATTTATTTTCAAGCCAAAAAAATTAAAAATATAAAAAAACATAAAAATATAAAAATTTTTGGAATTAAATACAAATTACTCAAGGATGAGATTTTTAGAAATTTCAAATAGTAAATTTCCTAAGAAATTTTTGAGTGAGAAATTTTTTCTAAATTTGACCCAAATTGTGGAATGATTTAGATGAAATTTCGATACAAGTAATTGTATTTTTTTTTCAAATAATAAAATTTGGTTGAAAATATGTGATAATTATCTAAGGATGAGATTCTTACGAATTTTAAATAGTAAATTCCTAAGAAATCTCTATGTGAGAAATTTTCTCTAAATTTAGCCCAAATGATGGAATAATTTAGATGAAATTTTAATAAAAATAATTATCATATTATTTTCTTTCCAAGAAAAAAAATTAAAAAGAATTCTAAATAGGCCCAAATGTTAGAAAAATTTAGAAATTCAAAACAAAAAAATATTTCTAATTTGGCTCAAATGGTGGAATAATTAGATATATTTTCAACAAAAAAATAAAACTAATAAAAAAATTTTCGACGATGGAGCCTCTTCAAGGAAACAAACCGGATCATTAAATACTCTTGAGGTGAGAAAATATTTTTAAAAGTTTTATCAAATTGATAAAGAATCTTAAAAATTATTTTCAATATTTAACATAAAAATTTGAAACCATTAGAACCAAGACCATAGGATGAATTTAAAATAATATGGTACCATCCTTCGGATGGGCATGTGGGGGTGCTATAACCTTCCCCACATGT